GGCTTGTTTAGCTGTGCGCTCATACCCCAAAGATTGTCCCGCGTCGAGCTTCGCTTGTTCCCATGTGTCGCGTTTAAGCTTTTCAGCATCGGTCAACCCTCTGTGTTCTTAATTGCAACCGTCTGCTTCTTCCCGACAATTCTTGGGGTCTCGCGACCACGCGTAGCATGGTATCTTGCTCTCTTTCCCACGCGATCGATTGGATTGACTCCTGTGTTGCGCCCCCTTTCCACGCCCACCCATTGGGGTCTGCGATCGACTCTGCCCCTTTCGGCCTTGGCCCTTGGATCTCCCTCTGGGGCTTTGTTCTGGGCAGGAGCGGCATTAGACTTGTTTCCCGCAGCCGGCTGAGCCGGCGCGGCAGCCTTGGGCTTCTTATGATTGAAAAAGACAACCCTTTCCGGCATACGGGCAGGTCTCGCCCTTGCGCGCGTACTTGCACGTCGTCTCGCCCTTCGTCAATCCACTCTTCATTACATCGGTGGTTTTCCCTAGTCGGGCTGCTACTTCTGCTGGAGCGGCTTTGCCGCCGGCATTTCGTCGATTGTCATTGCCCCCCCTCCGCCCAATCTGGCCTGCCGAGCACGTTGATTCAAAGTACTCTTATTCACGCTGATGTTCCATTCTTCTTTATCACGCAACACCATCCCTTCGATCTGCTCCATCAGCCATTCGTAAGTCTTCACACCCTGCCCCATTTTGTCTTTGGACAGATCATAGAGTTGACAAACGAAATTCAATGTATTGGGCTTTCTGCATTGCTCGATAAAGTGCGCATGGATCGAAGCTCTCATTTCATCAGACGGAGGTCGGGCGCCGTAGAGCTGTTGGTATACATCTGTCCATTCATTATAGAAGTGATACAGATCAGCGTCTGGCTTGTTGGGGTCAATGACAACCTTGAAGATATCACGCGAAATGCGATGTTGGCCTAACTCCGATCTAACAGAACACCAATGACAAATGGCTCGTACCATCTCACGTCCTGTCAAGAGTCTTTCCTCATTCTGGGCGCTGCACTCCATTCGAGTGATCTGCTGAAGGAAGTGTAAGTGATGACTGGGAAGGTTACGATTCCTGCGCATTTTGCTGAATTTCTCAATCAGATGTGTAGCGATCATGAGGTCAAGACTCTGGAAGCGACCTGCTCCTTTGAGTTGTTCATCGTCCACAGCACGGTTCATTGCTTCCGTAATCCAGCGCTGCGCTGCTTGGCTCTCAGGCGACGACCCTGCGATCGCGCGGATTGCATGCATTTGCCACCCCCGTATGTTTGCAACATCGGGGATGTCCAACAAGTCAACCTTCTGATTGTTTCCAACCTGTCTCCACTGGTCCAACGGTGTACTTTCATCAATACCTCCTGGATCATGTGGCCCGCCTGGGCCCTGAGGTCCACCACGGCCACCTCCACCATCTGAGGATCCCGGTCCCCCCCGACTCCCTGGAGACGGTATATCCGGTCGTTTAGCGTTATCGTCGTCGCGCGCCGACATGATCTCAGAGCTCGGCGCGTCACTCTTGTCATCCCCTTCTTTGTCCTGTCCTGCCCCGCCAGATGGCTTAGCCACTGGCGGCCTCGCAGGTCCGCCCCTGGAAAAAGGGTGATAATTGACAAAACGGTCATCATCATTGGATCCTGTCAATTTCATGTCGATTGACAAACCATTTCCAGAGGTGCTCGGCTTAGTCGGTCCTTCGAGTGCAGGGTCAGGGACAGTAAAGTTGGGTCGCATAATAGACCTCACAGGAGTTTCGTGTGAAAGTAAAGGCATATCGAATGAACTTAAGGTGGGCACTTTTTCTTGTCCTTTTCCACTGCGCGGAAATGGATTTGCGATGATAGCTTTAAGCTTCATCATTCCTTTCCCTGATTCGGCTGCATTTGTTATGGCCTCACCTTTCTCTCGGATATTGGCGGCGGACCTTTCGCACTTCTTTTGAGTACATGTAGAACATCTTTTGGTGTTCGCATCGAAATGATCTGTGCAGGCCGGCAATCCACAAGTAGCGCAATCGTCTGTTTCGGGTTGACGCAAACTGAGCAACTCTCTTCCTCGTCCCACTTCGCAGGCTGTGGCTGCGGCGCAGCCCTCGCCAGCAACGTCGACGATCCCGCATTCGTTACGGTCATCAAGTCAGACTGAGGCGGAACGGACGCTGCGCCAGACGGCTGAGCCGTCGGCGATGGTCGTCTGTCCGTCCCAGCCGGCTTAGCCTGCGGGCATGTGTCATTGCTCAACTGCATATGCTGGAGGGATGCTCTAGAATTTCCATAGGACTTGAGTTCTTCTCGATATTGATTGTTTTGGTCAGCTACCTTCGCAGCTACAACTTGGGTGTTAACCACTTCCAGCCTGGCGTTTTGAAGCTTTTCTTGAAGCTCCTGTTTTTCTCGTTCAGCCCTGGCTGTAGCGATTTTCTCTCCTTCTACTCTAGCCGCCGCAACAGCAGCGGAGACGGTTTTGGCATCAACAGACTGATTAGTCGCCGCCGCAACGGTCTGTCGCTCGGAAGCTAGCATCTCGACACATCGGTTCTCGGCTTCTTTCCCCGCCTGCCGCTTAGCGACCGCGGTCTGATAGTGCACCTGTTCCACCAACTCTCGTTCCCGCTCGCTGGCAGCCTTGGCCAGGGCGAGCCTTTCAGCCTCGAGCGTCTTCCTAACGTCTTCAATGGTTGCAGTCATCTCCTCTCGATCCAGTCGAGCCTTTTCGGCCCGCTGCGCTTCGCTTGCCAGAAACTCCTGCTGAGTCTTAGCTTCAACAACTCTAGCCTGATCCTGAGTAGCTAATATGAGAAGATATGTGCAGTTATGCTCGCTCATAGGTAAGCAATCTACACGCAACCATTGGTTGCTGCATTCGGGGCATACATCCGAGCAACTTTTACATGCTGGACGCCTACACGCACCCTCTGGCCTGTGGGCTTTCCCCGGGCGTCTGCTCTCCGCCTGAGGCGCGCAGTCAGAGTTCCAGTTCCAGCATGCATCATGCATCATGGATATAGTGCCGTTGCTCCTTGAAGCAGATCGCGCTCCTGATCTCGGCATTTTGGGACTTCCCCTACTCGAAGCGCTTGATCGAGGACGCACGTGCGTACATTCTGGGGGGTTCGGTACCTCCCAAAGCTCCTCATCCCTTTCATCCTGTCTTATTAGCTCAGTGCACGAAGCTGGTTGTTCAGCCATTTCTTCATCCTCAACAACAGCCGGTATCGAAGGTCGCCAATCGCCTGAGGCGACGGCGGGACGATAGAAACCTTCTTTAAGCGGTGAATCGTTCAAATCGTAATCCTCGTTCCTCTGCTTTTTGAGCTGAGGTGCAGGAGTCCGTCCTGTGGACTCCCTATCGTGCTTCGCCTGAGATTGATGTTCGATATCAGCCCTGTCCGCCTGAGGCGTCAGGTCACTTGTATCTTCATCTGAACCATCTGGAGACCACCTCTCGCCTTGGGCGGGGTGGTTTGCGTCCATTAACGAGGACAGTTCTCGGCTCAAGGAAACTCATTTGTTAGCATATTCAAAGTCTTCCTCCATGGAGTTTATGTCATGCTCTCTATCGATTGGCTCATCACTATCTTGTCCGAACTGTCCGTTCAATGCTATCGAGATGGGAAGATTTCCACTCGTGCCTCCCCACCCGCCTGGGACGTTGGGGTATACGCCTGTGGAATCATGAGCTTCTCCCGACTCACTGGCTTCACCAGCGGCCGGTACGAATGTATGTGCAGCAATCGGAATCGGACTTATTGACTCCGATGATTCGGCGATCAGAGACGAGAAAGCTCCTCGTCTGGATCTCGCTGTTACGCCATTCCGTCCATGCAGGTCTGGGGTTTGCTCGCGATTACCAATCGGAACTCCAGAGGTGGAGCCACCTTCCGACATTTCAACAACCTCTTCAGTACTTCTACCCCGAGAGACCCGAGTGGCGATACTAGAAGAGGGAAGGCGGCCTTGCCCCGGGCCGCTCTCCTGTAGGTCATGTCCGTCATGTTGTACAACTTGTTGTTCAGCGTTTCGCAAAGTGACGGACATTTCATCTGTCTTATCATAGCTCATACCCGCAGCGACTAAGTCGCAGGGTTCATCAGAAAACCAGACTCCTGGCTGATATAAACCCGTATCGACTATGTCGCGGCTTTCGGCTGATAACCAGACTTTCCTCTGAGAATCTGGGTAGGATGACAAAGGAATAAAGATCTCGTGTTCACTCTGCTCACTGGTAGAAGGTACGGGACGAGACATCGATAAGACAAGTCTCCCGTAAGCGAACGCACTCTATCAGGAACAGTAAGGGAGGAGGCCGGCTGGCCGACAACCGACGAAGTGCGACGGCCGAGGGCGGGCGCGCTTCTTTTATCTCCTGTACGCTCGCGCGTAGCTCGAGTACAATACAGCTACAGATAGTCACACATTGCGCAGCAAAGCAAGTGGTGTGAAAAACATGAAGAAGATGAGGCGGAGAGGAACATATTTAGAACGATTGAAGGGCCGCTGAACCAGATTAGCCCAGATGGATCCCAACTACGCCACATCGAGCGAGACTTAGCGGAATGAAACAGAATTCGACGGGACCATGCCTGACGAGGCTTGTCTGCGACCACAGATATACCAGCGCCGATGCTAAAATTCCTGTGGCAACTTACGGAGGCCTCCCATGCTATCGTGTTGGTTTGGCGAACCGACACTAAACAAAGCGAGTCGACGCTTCGACGCTAGGACCACACTCTTCGACGCTGAATCTGCGCTTTCCTTTGACTACCAGACGCTGGCGCACGCCAGTGCGCTCTGCAGATAGATACCCGAGGACATACAAGGCTCACATGCGTTCGTAGCGTCCGCAGATCCAGAGATCAAGCCCGAGGAGGAGGTCGAAAACTGATTACCACCGAAACGCACCGTAATGTCAAACAGGGCTCCCATGATGTGTGACCGAATGAATATAACCTCCCAAAAACGGCATAGAGATACCCACGACGGGTGCGGCCGCGGCCGCTTCCCGGAGCGCCGTCGCCGAGCTGAGCTTGCGCAGCACCGGCGGCTTGCTGAGCCTCCTGCCTCCGCCGAAGCTGGCCCCGGCCCCCGGCGGCCTGCGGGCGGCACCGCGGAAGACACGGGCCGTCCACGTCGCCGTCCTTGCCGTCCTTGCCGCCCCCGCCCAGACAGCTTCCGGGCCTTGGCAAGACAGTGTTAAGTGGGACGTCCTTTATTGCTGGTTCCTGGGGGACGCCTCCCCCGTCCAATTCCAGTAACCAGAACTGCAGAACTGCCGACGCCCGAAAACGAAAGATATGGCAGACCTGGTTTAGCGATTCTGACCTAGGCGTCAGGGCCCTATCACTAACTGGGGCTCCGCTTACCCTGGCTGTACCCAATCTTCGCGTCGTGATGGAATGAACCTTTTTGGTCTGCAGTGAGGGTGGGCGCCAACGTGTCGAAATAGCCGGCGGGCCCCACACTGGAACCAGGGGCACACAACTACGCCTATACGGGGATTCCTCCGGCTGGAGCCACACCCTAGAGTAGGGTGGCCGGAGGAGCAGCACAGGAGGAGGCCTCAGGCAAAGAGATTCTTCGCAACGAGAAGTGCGCAGACGGCCTCAGGCACCAGAGACGAGCGTACCAAAACGATGTGCGGTTAGTCCGAAACTGCCAGGGGGGGGGGGGGGGGGGGCAACGCCGTGATCTATTGGGGGTGAATCCCGACAAGTTTCAGAATCAGCGACGGGCACGCTAAGGAAAAAAAGTGTCAGAGGAATACGGGTCCGGGGGATGCATTTTCAAAGAAGCTACCAAGAAGAGGCCAAGAAAGACATGTGCTTTGAGACGAACCCGGCCCCGGGTGCGAAAACCCAAAGACATGAAGCTCACTCGTTCCTGACCCGCTCAAGGCTGGAACCCATTAGCAGTCGAAGGGACCTCGTCCTCGCCCCCGCGCCCAGGCATCTCCGCGTCGTGATGGACTCACGGCTAAAGGCGTTGGGCTGCTTCGGCCGCTGGGGGCCCTCGACGGGGCCCCGGGACCTTCCACAGATGCTTCGTCTCGACGGAACACCAGCCCTTCGGGAAAGGGTCGGGCATTCCATGGACCCCGCGTGGGAAAACTCGACACATTAAAAGGGGAGATCGACTGCAGAATTGATTCACCCCAGACTTGATCTTCTCGTCGAATCTACGACACATGCGCTGAATTTGCTTCGCTCTACAAACATTCTGCGCATTTGTCGCAGATTCGTAGAAGAAAAAGCGTGTGGGGGTAAATCAATTCTGCGGTCGATCTCCTACTCGAGACATCGGATGTCTGGGCAGCACGGCCAGGCTCTCTTCGGAGGTCGTCGGAAATTGTTCCAGGGGCTCTCGGGGAAGGGGCGGGGAGGCCCGCGGTTCTCGGAGACGTCCTCCGCCCCGTCCTGTCCCGCCTCCCAGTCCAAACGCGCAGTTCCACGGCCGAGCTGCTCGTGCCCGAGCGCACCCAGCCCCCACCTCTGGTGAGAGGACCGCCGAGGAGGGGGCGGGTAGTAAGGACGCGTCCTGGAGAGTTATCGACTTCAGCTCATTCACGCGGGGCCAGCGGCCTCAGCGGACTTCTGTGGAAGGGGCTCGCGTGAAAACCTCCAGATATGGGAAGCGGGAGTTCGGTGTCAGCTACGACTTTGGAACTCGGGAGGAGCGGGGGAGGAGGGGGAAGAGGGGGAGGAGGAGGAGGAGGAGGAGGAGGAGGAGGAGGAGGAGGAGGAGGAGGAGGAGGAGGAGGAGGAGGAGGAGGATGAGGAGGAGGAGGGGGGCCGGCAACCCGACCCGATCCTCTGCCGCGGGCGTGCGGTCCCTGGCCCAGCCGCGGCGATGGTGGCGGCGGAGGAACGGAGCGAGGACCGTCAGAGGCGGACCGTCGCAGGGAGGCGATGGGATCTCAGATTCGGCCAAGGCTTCCACACGTGTGCGCCGCACAGCTACAGTCAACCAGTATAGTAAGGATGCGCGATGAGGATGCAGGGGCCTTGGACGCCCATTTCGAAGCGTTTCGAGCGGGGCGCGGCCAGCGAAAGCGGCCAAGGATGGACCGAGGAGGCAAGGATGCAAGGGTACCCTTGGGAAGGTTGCCCATCCTTACTATGCGGGTTGACTGTAATCACCTGCCGGGTAAGGCCCAGTCCAAACAAATATTACAATCCACTATAGTGGTGAAAACTAGTCTCGAAACGGGGCGCAAGCCGTCACGATCAGCCCTGGAGACGAGGGAGGAGGCCGAGAAGAGGGAGAAGGCCAAGGAGAGTGAGAGGGGGCGACGAGGAGGGTGAGGGTGAGGATGATGGCACGCTCTGGCGGCGGAGCCCCGAGTGGCTTCAGTTCAGGCCGAGAGCGAAAAAGTTGGGAATTGGGTTCCAGATTTCCGATGCCGCGAGTTGAAATGCGGGCCCCTGATACCTCTCGACAACTTCTTTGGACCAGTTTCCGTCTGGACCGTGTTCTGCCTGCAAAGGGGCCCTCGAAGCGGACCCCCGAACCAGACAAATGCACAATGCCGCAGCATTGAGCTGGTCGAGACGTCTTGACGTCTGGGATGTTTGGGCTCTTGCCGAATACATGCGCACATATCAGCGGTGCGCCAAAGGGGAAGTCAGAGGGGTCGAGCGTTCTCAAAAGGCTCAGAAGGCCTCCGGCCTCCTGACAAATTTCCTAAGCCTTCTCCGAAGACAGAGGCGGCTTCTCCGAAGGCTGGACGGCTTGGAAGGCTCTGCCCCCCTCCTCCTCCACCCCCCAGGGGCGCACCCACGAACAGATGCAAGCAGTCATGCCACGAGACCGGCGCCCGTGCACCGCACCATGTCTGGACCCACATCGGGCCCCGCTCCAGCCAGGTGCGGTGCATAATTCTGCGGCTCTGAGGGCCGAAAGACTGTGCACCGTCCCTTTCCTCGGTCGGGGATCGACGGCGCCTCGGGAGGCGTCCATTCGGCACGATGCCCACATGTCGTCCGCGGGTAAACGATTCCAAATACACACCTAAAACATGTAAGCATACACCAGAAAGCGTTGGCGGTCTGCGGCTGGGGGGGCGGCCTGCGCGCCGCAACGGGCGGCGTCGTCTGCTGGAACGCCCAATGCGGGACCCGAACAGCTGGGCACGATGCCCAAAGGCAAGTGCTGCTCAGAACCGACGGCGGCCGCTGTTAGGCGCGAGGGCAACCCCGTGCGAACCCCACCTCGGCCCGTGCAGGTCAGATGCATGAAAAACTGGCTGGAGTTCTGAATTTCAGAGATGCCTGCAGCCAGGTGAGCCCCAGCGGGGGCGTCCGATCCCCCAGCGCCGATCGGACCCGTAGAGTCTAAGGTGGAGTTTGCAAGTGGTCGCATAGATGCTCCACGGCAAATGTTGCCCAGAACCAATCGAGGCCGCTGTTGGGCGGGGGACCGTTTGCCTCAAATGGACCACGTCCGCGACGCCCACGAGATTCCGATACCGCTCCTCACCAGGCCTGTCCTGGAGTGCGTCCTGCATAGGATTTCGAGGAGAATCTCGCCGTGGTGACGAAGGCTCTCCAAATATTGCTTTTGATTCTCTCCGGCAACGTTCGTGACCCGGGGGGGGGCAGGGTAATGGTAACGCTCGGGCGGGGTAGAGCACGTCGGAGTCGGGGCGGGGGTGCGCTGCGATCACCATTGTACGCGCGCAAGTGAGATGTCCCCCCTCCCACGTACGGTACGATCGTTACCACTACCTGGGGGAGAAGAGTTTGGCCCTGGTAACGACCGCGACCCGCCAGAGGATAACAGAACCCGTCTCCCAGCACGAGCAACGGTATCGGTACCCTTCCATCCCCCGGCTACGATTCCGATCCCGACCCTCGCCGACCTGTCCTGGGGTGCCTGACCGCCGCCGCGACCGATACCGCTCCTCCCGCGACGCCAACGAGATTCCAATACTGCTCCTCCACGGGCCTGTCCTGGGGTGCGTCCTGCCCAGGATTTCGAGGAGAATCCCAGAAGTGGCGACGAGGGCTGTCCAGCACGAGCAGCGGTATCGGTACCTGTTCCTCCTCGGGGCGGGGACCTCCGCGCCGCCGAGCGCGCGGCGAAGTCTGCCCCCGGGCCCCGCCCCGGAGGCGTCCGGCCCGCCGCGGAGCCTGGAGAGCCCCATGCCGACCTTGCCGGGCTTCGCGGCGGGCGAGGCCTGGCGCGGAGGCGGGGGGCGGGCGCTGCATCGCTCCTGCCGCCCGGCCTCGCCGGAGAGGGTGAACGGAGGAGGGCCAGGCGGAGACGGCGTTGGCCCTCCACTGCGCAGTCTGCCACTCTGGGGCCTCCGGGAGGCTTCTCGCCGCCGCGGGTGCGGGCCCGCCTCGACGGACGGGCCAGGACGTGGGGCCCCGTGAGGGGTGCGGGGTCCGATCTTACGCGGATCTGGGCCGGGCGGGATCGGACAGCCGCCGTGGTCTCCACTGGCCCTCCGTCTCCATCTCGTGGTGCCTCCTTCCCCGTCCTGTCTCCCCACTTCCCCCTCCTCCTGCTCCTCGAACGAGCTGCCGGAGACGGCTCTCCTGAAGGCGGAGACACAGACAGCACGAATGATGCACTCTGGCAGCAGATTGTACGCGCCCAGTCGGGCGAGCGCTGGCGCTTCTTGTCCCCATCCCTCCTGAGTTGAGTTGGGCCCTCGCTTCGCCACGTCCCGCCTTCCCATCCCCTTCTCCCTCTACCCCCCTCTGTCTCTGATCTCCGCGTGTTCGTTTCGGCACACACACACACCCCTCACACGCTTCGTGGCCCGATGGGGAGCTCCGCCGAAGGCTCTGGTGGCAAGGTTACGCAGTCCCCCAGATCAGTTCGGCACATCCCTCACGCGCTTCGTGGCCCAACGGGGAGGTCCACAGAAAGTTTCAGTGGCAGCGCCCGCATGTGTGCCGGCGCCGATTTAGGCATACCCCTCCAACGCTTCGTGACCCAGACAGGGAACGCCACCGAAGGGCCATGTGGCAGCGCTCGCATGCGGACCCACGCCCATGTCAACATACCCCTCACGTGCGTCATGACCCTCTAGGGAGCTCCACCGAAGGGCCATGTGGTAGCGCCCGCATGCGTGCCCACGCCCATGCCGATTCACCGCTCACACGCTTCGTGGCCCCACGAGGAGACCCATCGAAGGCCCCAGCGGTTTCGCCCGCAAGGCTGGAGATGCATCACCTATGTGGTGCGATGCCTGTATGCAGAGGCCATATCGCACGCCACTCGCAGCTTGATCACCCCTCTCCGTATCACCTGCTTTGCTGTACATGCAGCTGCAGGTGGCTGGGCCCTTCGTCAGGATATGTTCCCCTTTCTTCCTCCCCAAGCACATGACCCCACAAGCAACATCCGCACCCAAGAGGAGTCCCCGAAGTGCGCCAGCTAGTCCGTCGCGCCAGGAGGGGGAGAGGAAGGACGTGGGGGAGAGGAAGGGAGGCGGTGGAGAGCGGACAGAACGCCGTGCGGGCATCCCCGTCGGGCAAACTCTGACGCGGGTGCGATTGCCGGCGCTGGCGGTGGAACGACCGCGAGCCGCAGAGGGTCCGCGCGCGCCGCCTCGGTCGCTCCAGCTTGCCCGCTCCTGGCGGGAGGCTCAGAAGCGAGGTGCCCGCAACCGGGTCACCGAACTTCGCGCATCGCGCCCCGCGATGCGTGACGCGCGGACATCTTCGCGCTCCCGCGGCGCTGCCCTGGAGAAGGGCGCGCCTCCAACCCGAGCCGCGATGCGCAAAGCTCTAGGCATTATCTTCGCGCCCCTGGAGGGGGAGCCCGAGCAAAGAAGGGTGCCAGCAGAGCGCACGGAAGTGGCTCCAGATTGGCCAGCAGCCCGACCCTACCACCCCGCGTCCAAAATGTGCCGAACACGCGTGCCCTCCACGCCTCGCTGACCGCACCCCCGTCGCCGTCCGCCCAACCGAAGGGCTGCCCCGAAGTGCGGCCCTCCCCTCGTGACACAATTGGCCGACGGAGGGGTTCGTCCCGCTTCAGGCCCCTGGGCCCTCACACATCGATCTGGTCCGAAAACTGGAACAGAAGAAATATGGGATTGAGAGCTCTGGCCGGGATTTTCTTCACGACACCGTGGTTTCTCCACCACGTCGGACCTCAGGGACGTGCGGCCATGTTGCGTCGCATCTCTTTGTCCCTCTTTTGCTGGGAACGGCGTGCAACGAAATACGATCGGGATTCGTTGCTGGGCGTGTCGCCACGGCGGCCCTGGCGAGACGCTATGCCTTGCGAGTGGATAGCGTGTCCCTCCACTCCGTGGGGCGGGGAGCTCAGAAAAGCTCGGCACTTGGTCGACCCGGGACCGCGAAGTGGATAGCGTGTCGCGCCGAAACGCGGTGGGCCAGAACCGGCGGAACGACACGGTATCCCAAAATTCCCGACGGCACCCATCCTCCCCACATGCTGTTCCGACTCCAACCAACCCCTTGGGCTGCCTCGTCGTCGGTCTCGTCGATGTCGTCGGTGTCGTCATCAACGACGCCGTACTTCGAATGCCTCGCTGCAAGAGGAAGGCGGAATAGGCAGGGCAGCGGGAAGGGGGATGGAAGGGAGGAGCGAATAAAACAGGAGAGAGAAAGGGAAAAAGAGAGAGAGACATAACAAAAACGAGACAGAGACAGAGACAGACACAGGGACAGAAACACACAGATAACAAAATGTACACAGACATCTGGTTATCCACCAGCCCCCTTGGTGGCGCAAGGCTGTGAGACACTACAGCTAAGCCGTAAGGACGCGCGATAATGCAAATGCCTTGGAGGGCCATGTCGACACCTTGCGAGCGGGGCGCGGCTAGCGGAAGTGGCCAACGATGGGCAGAAAAGGGAAGGATGCAAGGGTAACTTTGGGAACTCGTTCATCCTTACTATGAGAGTTGTCTGTAAGCTGGGCTGCTATATTGTGCTGTTATTGTTGGTTGTGTTTGCTGTTGCGTTTCGTACTGCCTGCCATGCGGGGCCCGCGGCTCCAAGAACAGCCAAGGGGGGGGAGCGGGGGGGTCAAGTTCCTGGCCGACCTAAGTGGCCCCAGGACCCTCATTGGGACGCCGCCGTTCGGCCAGGGCAGCTTACGAGGCCTCAAAGGCTGCCCATGGAGGCACTGAAGAGAACGCCAAGAACCCAAGACGACCCGCGAGGGCCCAAGGGCGCCCAAGTGCGACCTCAAGAAAAGAAAAGAAAACCCAAGAAACAAACATGCCACCAAGGCGGCCTCCAAACTCCCAAATCACGGATTTTCGGACAAAGTGTTGCGCATGTTTGGGTCCTGGCTTATTTATCGGACCTCCGAAAAACGGCCCGGAAAATTTTTGAAATGGCCCCACGACGGCCCAAAGGAAAGGGCCCCAAGTTGGCCGAAGAGGCCCTCAAAACGGCCCAAAGACGGCAAGAAAGGGTCCCAACCGAGCTCCCCCAAACTTCCAGAATGGCCGAGAAGGCCCCAAGACGGCCAAACAAACGCCCCACGACAATCCGAGAGGGCCCATGACAGCACAAGAAGGCCAGAACAACCCGCAAGAGGCCCCCCAAAACAAAATGCCCTCCAATAGACCACTCGGAGAATGCAAAGTAGGTTCCGAAAGAGAAAATGGAGAGGGGGATGTAAACAGGCATGTAGAAAAGTAAAGGCGCTCCAAGGATGGGTTCGAATCTGACCACAACAGAGCAAGGCCGACGACCTTCTGTGTCCCTGCGGCTCGATATGGATGCGCGGCCGCCGGGTTCTCGCCCGCGGCCTGCCCAATGCGCCCCCCTGACCTCTCCCTGGTGGTGTGCGGGGGGGGGGGGGGGGGCGCGCACGGCGGTCACGGCCCCCCAGCAACGGCAACGCCAGGGCGGCTGGTTTGGGGGCCCCGCTTGCCCCGAGAAACCTGTGCCCAAGGAAAGGGAACACGAGAAAAACAACAGTGGCGGGGCTCTCGGTTTCAGGGTTACCCAAATGAGGCTGCCAAGTCCGAAGGACGAGCTGGTGGAAACATTTGCACATGTTGGGATGGTGATGAGGCTTGGCAGGGAGGCGGGGGGGTGCAAAGCTTCGATTCAAGAGCGGCAGGAGCTGGAAAGGCCACGGCAAGGCGCTGCGCTGAGTTAGGATGATCGGTGGGACGGCGCGGACCGTCCTCCGAAAAGCTCCCCGGGAACATGGTATATGTTCCCGGAAAGCTCCCCGGAAAGCTCCCCGGGAACATGGTATGTGGGGCCGTATTGGAGTCCTCGTGGAGGTTGCCAGGGTACCTCAAATGAGGCTGCAAAGCCCGAAGGACAGCCAGAGTGAGCCATTCGGAAATGTTGTCATGGTGGTGCGGCTGCGAAGTGAAATGGGAGAGGCGCAGGGTAAAGAAACAAGAACGGTAGGAGCTGGGCAGGACAGGGCAAGGAAGGAGGGATGTCGAAGGCGGCCGGCCTCTTGGGGGCCTCTTGGGGGCCGTTGGTTGGCCTCTTGGGGCCCGTTGTGGAGCCTTCTGGGGCGTCTTGTGGGCCACTTGTTATCCTCTTGGAGCCCCGTGGCAGCATCTGGGACCCTTCTTGATGCCTCCTGGGGGCCTCTTCGGGCGAAAACTCGGAGTTTCGGTTCATGCTTCCCCTCTTGAGGCCATCTCTTGGGGCCGACTCTAAGGCCTCTGAGGCCGTCTCGGGCGCCCCTGGGGCCGTCAAGGAGCCCTGTTAGGCCGTCCAGGGACCCTCCTGGGGGCCGCTGGGCCCGTCCTGAGGCGGTGTTGGAGGCCTCCTGAGCCGTCGTGGATTGTCGGAAGCTTGATAAGTGGAGGGCCACAACAACATTTAAACACCTTGAGGACATTACAATGTTTAGCCTCTCGGGGCACTCGTCTGGGGCCTCGGGCGCTCTCTGGAGCCTGCCCTGGACCGTCCTGGCGCCTGCTTGTGGCCTCTAAGGAGCTTCATAAGGCGAAAGAATCGGAATTTCGGTTCATGCCCCCCCCTCTGGAGGCCATCTCTTGGGGCCGCCTTTCAGGCCTCGGAGGCCGCCTCGGGCGCCCCCGTGGGGGCGTCATGCAGCCCTGGTATGCCGTCTCGGGGCCTTCCTGGGGGCCGCTGAGCCCGTCCTGAGGCGGTGTCGAAAGCCTCGTGGGCAGTCGTAAAGTGTCGGAATGTCGACAAAGAGAGGGCACCGAAAACATTCATTAGCCTGGCGAAGGACCCAACCATATGCAGTTGTGGACACCGTCGTTGTAGGCACCACATTCGGAAGAGCTCCCTATGGAGCCACGAGACGCGTGGGTGTGCCACAGGGTACGGCGGGCGCATGCGAACGCTGGCAGTTGGGCCTTCGGTGGGGCTCTCTCTGGAAACACGAAACGTGTGAGGGGTGTGCCAAAATGGATGCGGCGGGCGCATGCGAACGCTGGCAGTTGGGCCTTCGATGGGGCTTCTTCCTGTGGAGCCACGAAGCGTGTGGTGGTTGTGCCAAAATGGGTGCGGCGGGCGCATGCGAACGCTGGCAGTTGGGCCTGGTGGGGCTTCCTCTGGAACCGCGAAACGTGGGAGGGGTATGCCAAACTGTGTGCGGCGGGCGCCTGCGAACGCTGGCATTTGGGCCTTCGGGTGGGGCTCCCTATGGAGCCACGAAGCGTGTGAGAGGTGCGCCAAAATGGATGCGGCGGGCGCGTGCGAACGCTGGTATTTGGGCATTCCGTGAGGCTCCCTATGGGGCCACGAAAAGTGTGAGGGGTGTGCCGAAACAGAGACATGCGGAGGGCATGGGCGAGGAGGGGCAGGAGGGAGGAGGGGGAAGAGGAAGGGAGGAATGAGAACGCGGGGACCGTCTCTTCAAAACGAGGGTCCAAGACCACAGGATGGTTGGGAAACAACCCAGACGGAATCAATGATGTTTGCCTCACGGGTACTCGTCTGGGACCTTGAGCGCCCACTGAAGCTTGCTCGGGGCCGTCCTGGCGCAAAGTGAAAGCCTTCGGAGGCCGTTCAGACAGCATATTCGGTGCTCCCGGTGTGTGTGAACGACACAGTCTGGTAGACTGCCGTACCAATTAATAGGCCCTCTCTTCTGTGCGGCCACGATGCCACTGTGGGAACCACGAGGGCGCCACTAGAGCACTGCGGCGGCCATGTGTACCCGTGGTCGCTCCCCCCGGCCCGCCCGAGGCCGACTCCGATATGACTATATATACATGTATAACGGATGTATATGGTTTTAGATGTGCGTGCACGTATGTATATGAGAACTGTGTGAATATACACGATGTACTTATATGCATATTTACTTGCATATGTATACACACTGTGTGGTAGTACATGCGCACACATACACATATGTATGTGTATACTGCACAAACATGTGTATAGGTGTCCGAATGTAAAAAGACAGTGGGAAGAGAGAGAGAGAAGGGGAGAGAGAGAGGGAGGGGGGATCGCGGGTAGGAGGCAATGAGGGAAATTAATATAGAGAGAGGGACAGAGAGAGAAGGATATGAGGAAAGGCCAAGATAGACAGCGGCATACAACATTGTCAGAAGATGAGTGTCTGAGAGAGAGGTCGAGATACAGAAAGAGAGAGAGAGAGAACCATATCATAATACAAAGCAATAGAGATACTGAGATCTACGTGATCTTATACGGAGAGAGAGAGACAGGGAACGAAAACAACATGGACAACCAAAGAGAGAGAGAGAGAGAGAAACCACATAGTGGTATGGGCGAGGGCACAGAAGGCGAAAGGGAGCCTGCCTCGCCCAAACCTCGAAGCCGAGACCCACCGACACCGAAAGAGACCCACAGCATTCTAAGGGAAAGACGCAGCGACGCGGCAACCGACCAAATCGAGCCGAGCCGACCGCGACGCGGTTGGCCAAAGCCGAGTCGCAGCGGCACCCTCTCTGACATCCGACGATGTGCTTTTCTTCAGTGCGCGGGCCCTGCGAAAGTCCCGACCCCTGCTCAGTGGGTAGTTTTCAGTCGGCTATACGCAAGACTGACCCCAGGCAAGAGTGACCTTTGGTGCGCGGCGTAAGGGGGGCGCAGTGGGGGGGGGGGGGGCAGGGCCAAACCCAAGTGCGAAAGTCGCTGTATCCCAGCGCATTCAGCGATCCAGGGACCCCAAAAGCGCCCGCACCAAAGGTCACTCCAGCCAAAGGTCATTCTTACGTCAAGCCGATCCAGTCGCGGATCCGTTTTTGATGGTCCAGAGGGCCAATAACGGGCCTCAGGCGCTAAAAACCAAGCGTTTAGTGGAAGAACGGCTGTAGGCACGTCCTTCCGCCATGGTTGTGCGAGACGCTCGCGGAAAGAAGGGCCTTCTCCTGGCAGTCTGCGCTGCCCCGCCATAGTCGAGGAAATCGAGATCGACGCCTAAATCGACGCCGAAATCGAGGAACACAGACGACAGACGCCGACACCGAGAAGAGAAAAAACGCCCGCAGCCAGAAATCACGTCGGGTCGGAGATCTGGGCATGCGGGGCTCTGCGACGCGGCCGGGCGACCCGACTCTCACAGGCAGCGAAGGTGCATCCATACCCGCGCCCCGCTGGCTGGATTCCGGGGCGGGATCCCGTGGATACGCGGTCGCTGGGATGCGTTCCGAGCTGGGCTCCCGCGAGAAAACGCACCGCGTCTGCTGGAGCAGGGGCCGACCGTCCCGGCATTCCTGTAGTCCTACCACGAAGTGTTCTTAGAACCCAAACAATTTTCTTAAAACAAAAACAATGTGATTCGAACATCAACCCGATGTGATAAATCAAAGCAGACTCCGCTAGACATGTCCTAAGAACATGTCATGGAAACCGCGAAAGGTTCTTAGAACATTGCTCGGTAGGACTATAAGGCGAGCCTGGACGCTTCGCCACTGCTTGATCTGCGGGGTCGCGGCCCAAGAGGCCCAGCCCGCGAGGCCGCGAATACGGATGTGCTGCTTGCTCGGGAGGCTCGAGCGCAGCCCGCGAGCAGGTGCCGAGGACGGGCGCGCCAGCGCGCCCGGCCGCCGCGGGGGCCCCACCCGCTGGGCCTCGACACCCCCAGCCGCGACAGGCCGCGGGGCCTCTGCTTCTCCTGCGGGCGGGCGCGGGGGAGGCCGGCGCAGGGCCTCCCGAGCATTCCGGTGTTTTTTTTGTTGCTCGTGCTCCAGATTCCAAATATTCTAAGGATGGGGTTATGGTTCCCCCTATCCTGAGGTGGGGTTCTTGCTGAGCCTCATGTCCCAAGGCTGGGGTTGTGGTTATTACGCTGACCGCGCCGGCTCCTCACTCACCTTCCTCCTCCTCTTCCTCTTCACTCAGAGTCCCAGGGTCCCTACTTTGGCTATGCTCTGATGCTGCCAGTGGATGCTGTCACTGCCAGTAGGTGATGATTATGATGATGATGATGGTGATGATGATGATGCGGATGAAGATGGCACTGCTGATGATGATCGTGATGTTGCTGATGATGATAATGATGACCAACATGATGATGGCGACGATGATGAAAACGATGTTGACGATGGCGATGGTGATGATGCTGCGCAGGATTATGGTTGTGTTGACCATGATGACAACACCATCAACTCCCGATATCCATAAGATGGGGATCGTATTCTCAGTCTGGCCGCGCCGACTCCTCACCCACCTCCCTCCTCCTCCTCCTCCTCCTCCTCCTTATCACCCAGAATCGTATCCAGGGTCACCACTTATGGTATGTTATGCGATGATGGTGATGACGATGCTGATGCTGATGATGATGTCGATGCTGATGCTGGCGATGATGACTGTGATGATGATGCTGATGGTAGTGGGTGATGCTGTAACTGGAAGAAGATGCTGATGACCAATCTGTGGATGATGAAAATAACAATGATGATGGCTTTGATGGTGATGCTGAAGATGCTGATGATGATATGAGCAGGATGGTGGTGCTGATTTTTGTCGGCTTCTACTCAGCAGTGAAGGGTACGTGATGCGAGGCTGCCACTGCACCAATCGCAGCTACCGCCGCAACGTCGTCGTACAAGTGTTCAACAGCCGTGCGGCTTCACGCTTTCATCAGCTGCGACCGCTCCGAGCTGCGATCGTAATCAAGTTTCCATCGCCTCTCTCGTCCCTCGGCGATGGCACTGCTCAACCGCCAACGGCCCTGAAACTTGATGATTGATCGCAATATGCGTCTGGCCAATCAACACATCTAGAGTCCGAGTTCAAATATCACGTGGGGCACAGGCAAGGAAGCGCAAAGGGCTGCCCGAGACTGTTATTGCCCGGGCATGTGGTGCAGAAGAAGCAGGCTAGTGTGCGCAGCTGCGCACGGGGCAAACATTTACACTGCTAGCGTACCAGTCTGCGCCCGCATAGCTGGGGCAAAAGACGCGCCCAAGCTGACTCGAGATTGCCTACCGCGGTCGTGCTTCCGAGGGGAGGGAGCGACAGACGACGGCGACGAAGAGGGGGGGGGCCCAGGACCCGAAGAAGGTGAAGAACGAGCAAAGGGGGGAGAGGCCGCAGGCCAGGTGGCGCAGCACACCACGGGGATGCTGGGCGTGGAGCTGGCGGGGGGAGCAGAACAACGAACTTCCCCGCCCTGCTGGCCCCTGTCAAAATGGGGCTCTCGCTGGGGCGCCGCGCACATGCGTCTTTGACGTTAGCAAAGAGCTTTACGTATGGAGGGCGGCTCTTTTTCAAAACGTGGCTCTAGCCGTCGCGCTGAGCAAATTCGTCTTGACAGAACATTGCGCTTTCAAACATGATGCTGCCTGACGTCCCAGAAACGGTGTTCTGGCACGATTTGAAAGTGTCAGGGCGCACAAGTCAAGTTGATTCACTGTGTTGAAATCCCACGAGTGGCTTTCGGGCACGACTCAGGACCGCAAGGACGCAACAATCACATTGGTCTCCTCCTCCTCCTCCGCCTCCTCCTCCCTTTGTCGGTCGTCAGCGCGCGAGGTCCTCAGGCCTCTCCCGTGGCTGGCCGTGGGGCAGCACCCTCGCGCTCAGCAGCAAGTGGTCGGAGGGCTCCTTCGCAGTGGGCAGCGGCGAACCGCACGACCTCGGCCAGCTGCCAGAGACTGCTCGTCGGCGTCGTAGTCGTCGTCAACGTCGGCGGCGTCGTCGTCTCGTCGGGGGGACATCGTCGTCGTCGTCGTCGCCGTCGCAGTCGTCGTCGGCGTCGGCGTCGGCGTCGGCGTCGCCGTCGTCGTCGTCGGCGTCTGCGTCGGCGTCGGCGTCGGCGTCGGCGTCGGAGTCGGCGTCGGCGTCGGCGCCGGAGTCGGCGTGGGCGTGGGCGTGGGCGTGGGCGTGGGCGTCGACGTCGGCGTCGGCGCCGGCGTGGGCGTGGGCGTCGGCGCCGGCGTGGGCGTGGGCGTGGACGTCGGCGTCCTGTCGTCGTCGTCGGCGTTTTCGTCGTGACGTCGTCGTCGGGGTGTCGTCGTCGCCGTCGGCGTCGTCGTCGTCGTCGGGGCGTCGCCATCGTCGGGGCGTCGCGGCGTCCCCGTCCTCGTCGTCGTCGTCCTCGTCACAGGCTGGCGGCCAAGCGAGGCCCACTGCTCACAGGGAGGGGAGAGGGGGATGCCCAGGACCAGTGGAGGAGGACGGGGAAACTGAGGGGGGGGAGGCATCCCGAGGCGTGAAGACAGATGAGGGGGGGGATGAGTCGATCGGTCAAGCTGCGCATGACCAGCTTCGAAGTCCATCGAAGAGAGGCGTCCGCAGGGCGCATGAGAGCACTCCTCTCCCATCGGTGTCGCAAACATTCGCGAAGTCCCCCTTCCCGATCGATCGAATCGGAAACACCTCGATCGCAGCATGGGGTCTGGAAGCCTGCATATGTTGGCATGCAAGGTCTCGATGTTTACAGTACGGGGCCCCCAGAAGTCCCGACCCTTTCCCCTGGCCGTTGTTTCCTCCCGAGGTACGGTCCTAAGCCCCCCCCAAAGCCCAGAACAGCCAAACGCCTCGCGTCACGCTTTGTTTCGCAACGCGAGCATGTCTGGGGAGGGAAACGAGCACGAGCTAGAGGAGGAGGAGGAGGAGGCGGAGGAGGAGGAGGAGGAGGAGGAGGAGGAGATCCTGCCTGAGAGCGAAGCGATCTCGCCGCCACTGGCACTCGCAGTGCGCAGCTTCGGCGCACGAGCGCGGGCACGGCACGGCACGCAGAACTGCGACCCTGGGGGGCTGCCTCACAAAGGCCGTCACTGAAGGGACCCTGGGACACGCAAAGAAATACACAAATAACAGGATTCCCCATATGTTTCCCGTATTTTCTGGGTGTTTGTCTTCCCCCCCACTTCCCATTTTTCCCCATATTTCCCTGGGAGTGGACGATTAATTGTGTCTGTGTGTTTTTCCACCCTCCTGAGTCACACCTGTACACTGAGCAGTGTGGCCCCGGAGGAGTCAAGCGAGGCTCGTTGAGGGTTCAGCGACCCCTGATGTCCCTCAATTCGCGCAGAAGATTCCTGCGGCTGCTTCTGGATGAAGCTGGATATCTCGGCAGTTGCCTCGACTTGCCAATGCTTGGGTCGAACTGCGCCGACCAGCCTGCCTGGCCGCGGTCACGACCAAAAGACGGTCGCGGAGAAGTCGTCGAGCCCTTGGGTGATCAGATCTCGGCAGACTTCGCGCGGGATGCCACTTTGGCCCGTCCTCCTGTAGGCGGCGAGCCCGGGGGGAAGTGAGAAGGGACGGGCCTCCTCAGAAGGCTCGGAAGTCCCACAGCCTTCTGAAAAGTTGCCTGAGCCTGCTTTCAAGCACAGGGAACTCTTCAGAAGGCGCCAGGGCTTCCGAGAAGTCCCGCCGCCTCCTGAGAGGGCCTTCTCCGTCCTAATTCCCACCCCCCTTGGGCTCGCCGCCGATCCTGTCCAGGGGCTCTGGTTGCAGAGGCCCTGCTCAGAGCCCGGGCAGTCAGCCCTGGAGCGGTGCTCCCTGCGGCCGGGCCACACCGCACCCCCAAAGTCGAATCGCGCTTTTCGAAGGTTCTCTAGGACATTTACTCGTCATGAGAGATTGCACAGACAGTATTGTCGCATTTCTCTTCCTGTGGTTTTCGTTTCTGCGTTACCGGATTGTCGGTTTGAGTATGGCAGGGCGCAATGTTAACCAGGGCGCCGGCCCTCGCGCGCTCACCTCCTCGCGCCCCCGCGCGGCCTCCCTGGCCGCGCGCCACGGCCCCTGGCCCAGACGGCGAGGCGCGAGGTCGCGGTCCTCCGTGCGGGCCCCTGTGCGTGGCCTCGCGTCGCGCGCGGGAGGCTCGCCTCGACGCTTCCTGCGGCCGCCTGGGGGGGGCGCAGCGCTCAAGCAAGGAGGCCCGGCGGCAGGTGCCTCCCGCGGCGCCTGGCGACAGGGCGCGCCGACGACCCCACGCGTCTAGGGTCCGGCGCTTTTGCTTAGCGTGCCGCGGCGGCGGCCCAGGCGACACGCTATGCCCTGCAAGCGGATAGCGTGTCGCTCCGTTCCGCGGGGCCAGGGGATGGGGAAGGCTCGGGACGTTGACGCTCGGGGACTGGGACGGGTGGGTCAGAACTGGCGGCGCGATGCGCTAAGCCAAAGTTCCTGACCGTAGGCCCGACCCATAGACAGTGTGAAAGGCCGCCGCCGCCGCCGCCGATGGCCACGGGGGTCGCCATTGTCGAGGTCGCGGCCACCGCCATCTGACGATGGGCGTGCAGTGAACGCGCTGGATAAGGAAGCGTTGGATTGGAATACGGGGTCTGGAAGCCAGTGGGACGACAATTGAACCGTGGCTTTGGATACCACCGACGCTCTCATCAGATAAGTTCGCCGGCCCAACGGGCCAGGGCGTGCTAAGATCTCCGGTACCTGGTTAACAGTATTTCTAGTTCGCGCGCGCGGGGCGGCCCCTGGGGGTCCCCGGACGAAAAGTACCCCGGCAAGGTCCCGGCAAGTCCCCGGCAAGGTCGGGCCAGAGATGCCGGAGTTCTGTTACAGGGCCCCAGGACGGGCCAAGAGGTCCCCAAGAAGCCTCCAAGACGGTCCAAGAGGGCCCCGAGACGGCCAAAGATCGCCCGAAGACGCCCAACAGGGCCCCAAGACAGCCCAAGAGGCCTCCAAGACGCCCCAAGGGCCTTCCAAGAGGCCTCCGAAGAGGGCCCCCAAGAGGCCAAAATCGTTGATTTTCATTGTTTTTGTTCTATGTTTTTTGCGTTCTGGCTTTTTCGGCTTCCGGACGCTCCAAGACGGCCCAAGAGGCCCCCAAGACCGCTCCAAGACGGCCCACGAGGCTCCCAAGACGGCCCCGGAACGGCCCAGGAGGGCCCCCAAGACGGCCCAAGTGCCGCCCAAGACGGACCAAGAGGCCCCAAGACGGGCCCAAGAGGGGCTCAAGAGGGGAACCGAGAACTGAAAAATCGAGCCCTCCGCCCCAGAAGGCGCCCAGGAGGCCCCAAAAAGGCCCCAAGAGGCCCCCAAGAGGCCCCCAAGACGCCCCAAGAGGCGCCCAAGAGGCCCAAAAGAGGCCCAAAAGAGGCCCCAAGAGGCCCCAAAACGGCCCCCAAGAGGCCCCAAAACTCGGCTAGCCCACAACGGTGCGACAATATGGGCCGGCGGAATGAGCGAAGCGTTGGAATAACCCTCCAGGGACTCAGGCCTCATGGTCCAATTCTTTGACAAACATCCCCGCCGTACTTTGCACGACCACAACTATAGACCAGAGGCGGCTGACCCACGACAGCGCTTCGCAATGCGAGGCGCCGACCGCGCCCATAGGTCGGCCGCCTTTGCACTGTCGTGGCGGTCGTGAAAAATAGGGCCATATAGCTTCCGCTAGAAAAACGAGGAAGGCCCAGGCCCACAGCTCCGACGTCGCGTAGTCTTTCACGACGTTGGCACCTGCAGCTCGACACCATTCCCGAAACTGTTTCATCGTGGGCTTGGGTGGCCTTGATTCCCCGGGAGGCCCGAAGACCCAATTCATAAACAATAATGATAATAAACAGCCCTCGCGATCAGAGTGAGGGAGCCGAGCGGTCATTCACAGTCCCTTGGTGCGTGGCTAAGATGGGGTCTGCGGTGCGGATTGTTGTTACGATGCGTTGCGTTGCGTTGCGTTGCGTTGCGTTGCGTTGCGTTGCGTTGTTGTCGTCGTCCCACCCGCGACCCGGCCCGCGACCCACCCCGCGACCCATCCGCGTCCCGCCCGCAACCAGCCCGTGACCCGCCCGCGACCCGGCCTTCGACCCACCCGCGACCCACCCGAGACCCGCCCGCGACCCACCCGCGACCCGTCCCTGCACCCTCCCCCGACCCACCCCGCGACCCGCCCGCGACTCGCCCGCGACACACCCGCGACCCGGCCCGCGACCCACCCGAAACCCACCCCGCGACCCACCTGCGACCCGCCCGCGGCCCATCCACGACCCACCCCGCGCCCGCCCCCTCACTCGCATCCGCAACCGCGGGGCGCTGCATGCTTGGCATAACGGCGGATGCTTGGCTCCCTCTCCCTCGGAGTCGGGCCCACGACCTCCCCTGGGGCGCACCCTGGCCAGGGAGCCGCGGCGCATCTGGCCGTGGAGACGAGCTCCCCCCCACGGCCCCGAAGGGGAGGGGAGAGCGACAGAGCGAGGACTCCTCCTCCTCCTCCTCCTCCCTCCTCTCCCACTCTCTCCATACCACCTCCTCCTCCTCCTCGCACCTCATCCTCCTCATCCTCCTCCTCCTGCTCCTCCTCCTGCTCTTTCTCCTCCTCCTCGTTTGTACACAGTGCGGAGCCTCGGTAGGTAAGCAGTTTTCCAAGGGACGGGGCTCGATGCGGCCTGCCATGGGAGAGACGCCCCAGGTCTCAGGACCCAGAGAGCCCGCCTCAGGAAAGGTCCATATCCAGGTCGACTAAACGCGGCGCTGGAGGCCTACCGCGCGCCCTCGCCGGTGCTGCGAGATCATTGGTGCGCGCGCCTCCCGTCCTTGGCCGCCGGCCGGCGGCGGCTTCGATGACGCGCGGGGACAGCGTGCTGAATCTTCGGGGGGCGGCGCTGGGACTGGGAGCGGGTCGGCGGGATACGGCTTCCAATTTGCTCCTCCTCTCATTGACCATGAAGTCGCCCGTCTGCATGGCTTCGTTGACCCGTCCTCGGTTGTGAGTTTGATCGCCGAGTGCAAGGGCCTGCAAGCTGCAGAGGTCGACATGTTCGAGGTCTGTGGTTTCGGAGATTCGCGAGTTTTGTGACGCGCCCGGTGTGGCGAGCGAGGGGTTCCATCGCGAGGTGGTCTCCAAGTCTCCAAGCCCCGCCCCTCCTCCCCCTCCCCCTCATCCTGCAGAAGGCGCGGCGCCGCGAGCCGCAGTCACAAGGCGCCGCGACCAAAAGCGCCCGGGGCCCCGGCTGGACCCTCGGCAGCTTGCCGACGCCGGTCACCTCGGTGGGGGCCCCGGCAGGACGGGGGGTGTTGGAGCAGTTGCGTGCCCAGAGCTCCGACGATACGGTTTATCCCTAAGCCTATCCCTGCATCCCAATCCCTAGCCCTATATCTCCATCCCTACCCAAACCGCTTTCCCTATCCATATCCCGATCCCCCCCCATCGTGGGCCGCCATAGAAGCCTCATCATCTTCATCATGATTGCGTAAAGTTGTGCAGGGTCTTCTGCCGCAAGGGTGTCGATTCTTCCATCGCATGTTTCCTTCAATGCGAGGTTATTGGCCCGCTTTCGGGGCCTGGGACCATCAGAAACAGGCCCGCGGATGCAGAAGTGGCCCCCAGAAGGTGGTCGAGACTCCGGGGCCGCGGCCACAATGGATACAGGACGGCTCGCTTGGGCGCAGATGGCTCTCGCGCGTGCCATATCCGTGAGATGACGATAATCCGTGCAGTCGCGCCTCGGTGTCCAGACCGCGAGAGCGAGGATCCGGGGGAACAAGACGTGCACCGATACCGCTGCTGCCTGGACCTCTGCTGGGGAGCGTTCTGACCAGAACCGCGAGGCAAAATCCGGCCGTGACGACGAGGGCTCTTCAGGACGAGCAGCGGTATCTGTATCTCCTCGTCTGATGCCCGTCGCCCATGGAGCAGAAGGAGGACCCAGACCCCCGTCGTTATGATTCTTGCATGTCGGTGACATGGACCCCGGAGGATCTCGAACCGTTCCCCAGGACCCGCTTTTCATCCCGAGTCCTTTTGTTGAAGGTCCCAGGGCCTCGCGAGGGCCTCCAGAGGCCTAACACTGCCAAAATCTCCCGTCGCGCCTCAGGCCCGCGCAGCAGGCTCACACTGCGACGGCGTGGCCAATGGCTTCCTGACACCTTGCGGGGCGCTCAGACTTCAACTTGAACTTCCGCCTCTGTCTGCAATCGACATCGTTTCATCATGAGATCGGGCGTTGCAACTTTTTGACACCAGGTGTGTTCGCTCAGCTTCGGGCCCACATATCGATCCAGCTTGAAACACGAGGCAGAAAGATGGGTCCAAGGCTGCATTCGTGATTTGTTGCGATGTTTCATGTGTCTCGTAACTTCGGATCTCAGGGGATGCCGATCGAGTTCACGCCGCTGGCGGCTTTCACCCTCAGGCGCCCGCGCTGGAGTCGCTGCCACGTCGGCGCGATACGAACCAGCCCTAGTCGGTAGCGCCCTCAGGCTCCTTGACGGGCAACATTAGGGGGGGACCAACTCAGGGAGGGAAACATCGAGCTTGAATCCGATACATCGCCGATAAACCAGAGATGGGCCCTCGATGGCAAATCTGCACAGTCCTGGGCGGGGTGGGCTATCAGGCCAATATCAGCGATCAAAGGACGATTGGGGGCCGATGTACCCCCCTGAACATATTCCCCCCTAACGTTACCCCGATCGTCGTCTAGCTCTCGGTACAAAGCTAGTGAGCCTCCACTTGCATGAAGGCCTGAGCTCTTCCAGGGCCTGGCAAGGCGCTTCCCCTCCCCCTCCAAGTAATCCTGCCAGAGCCTGACTCGCCATCGCTCGGACGCGCAGTCCCTGTGCACTTGTTGGTTTCGTGCGTTTCTTCTTCTTCTTCGCAGGATGATGCGAAGCTCCTCGATGGTCCTTGGCGGGGAAGAACTACAAATCCGAGCGATGCCAAGCGACAGAAAAAAATGCCTCCTGCCTCTGCAGGGGGGTGGGCCCCCTGGCCTCCTGGCCTCTGCTGCCAGCCAGGGCCAGGGGGCTCCCGCGCCCTGGGGTGGACCAAGGCCCGGAGAGAGCGGGGGCCCGAGGGCTCTCCACGAGGTCCCCGTGGACGCGTTGCGGAGTTCTCCGAGCAGGGGGGGGAGAAGCAGGAAAAGGAGGAGCAGGAAGAAGAAGAAGGACACTAATAAGAACAGAACTAAGAGTAATAATGAGAAGACGAATCAGAATACCACAAACCTGTTACTTATACTGATCATACCACCTGGAAGAGGCCGCGAAAGAGGAGGAGAAGCAGGAGGCGGAAAACGAAATATCATAATACTTAAAGAATAAGGTTCGAAACATGACATGGCGACAGGGAAGAGGCTGAGGAAAAAGAATACGAGGAAAAGGAACGGGGGAGCGGGCTCGGAAGAGGGAGAGGAGCGGCGAGAGGAGGACTGATAATATGAAGAGGAGGAAGAGGAAGGGAGGAGGGGCAAGAGAAGGAAGAAGAGGAGGAGCGCGGCATGAATTAAGGAAGCGGCAGCGCGAAATAGACAGAGAGGAGGGAGGAAGAGAGAGAGAGAGAGAGAGAGACAGACAGACAGACAGACAGACAGACAGACAGACAGACATAAATACAGACAGACAGACACACAGACAGACAGACAGACAGACAGACCGACAGTCAGTCAGTCAGACAGACAGACAGCCAAACAGACACGCAGACACACAGAAACACAGCCAGACAGGCAGGCAGGCAGGCAGATACACAGGCAGACAGACAGAGAGAGAGAGAGAGAACAACAAGAAAACACGGGGCAGGACGAGGCAGTATGCACACCTGGCTCCCACCTCCTTCCTCCTTCCTCCCCCTCCACGTCTGATCGTTTTCTTCCATTCTGGGAGAGGCGAGGCGGAGAAATGATGTGGATCTGTATAGTTTTCCTGCTCCGAACAAACAGGCCGGCAGACACAGAGGCGCCGATGTACGACCCAGGGGGGCAGCCATCTGAGAGCTCCGCGGGGGCGCTGGAACTCCGAAACCCAGATGTCTCGTCGTCGTCGTCGGCATCGTCGTCGGCGTCGTCGTCGGTGTCGTCGTCAGCGTCGGAGTCGGCGGCGTCGTCGTCGGCGTCGGCATCGGCGTCGGCCTCGGCGTCGTCGCCATCTTCGGCGTCGGCGTCGTCGCCATCGTCGGCGTCAGTGTCGACGTCGGCGTCGTCGTCGGCGTCGACGTCGACCTCGGCGTCGACGTCGGCGTCGGCATCGCCGTCGACGTCGGCGTCGGCATCGGCATCGGCATCGGCGTCGTCGGCATCTGCGTCGGCGGCGTCGGCGTCGGCGTCAGTGTCGTCGTCGGCGTCGGAGTGGTCACCATCGTCGGCGTCGGCGTCGTCGCCATCGTCGTCGGCGTCGGCGTCGGCGTCGGCGTCGGCGTCGTCGCCATCGTCGGCGTCGGCGGCGTCGGCGGCGGCGCCAGCGTCGGGCTCGGCGTCGTCGCCATCGTCGGCGCCGGCGTCGTCGCCTTCGTCGGAGTCGGCGTCGGCGTCGTCGTCCGCATTACTGATATGGTCTTCCCCGAGATATTGGCACGGAAATGTCAACAAAAAAAGTACACTCCAGCCTCCTATACGTTTGCGCGATTGCACCCGTTACCTCGGCCATAGTTTTGGCAACGTGGAAATCAATTCCAAGCGCTCGTCGGTCCTGCTCAGCGGGTGTACGGTCCCGTTGTGAAAGTTGCTGCATACCCCCCGCGCAAAAACAAAAGTATGCATGAACTTTCAGCGTTGCTGCCAATCGTTCCTTGATAACGTCATGTGGCCCGGACTCGGAAATGTCCATTTGCATTCGGCAAGTTTGTTTTCAAATGTCTCCAATACCAAACCTGAGCACTGTGCTTCTAGGTGGTGTTAATGAACAGATCGATACTAGAACCATCGCGCTTAGCGCGCGCTCAAGTTCTAGCTAGCTTCTTGGGCCCTCCTCGGAACATCCTGGACTGCTTCTTGAAGTCGTCATGGGACCTTCTTGGCATGTCGTCGGGGGCCTTTTAGAGCGAGTTTTGAAGCCTTTGGGGCGCCGTCTTGGAGCTTCTTGGAGCCTCCTTTGGGCTTCTTGGGGGCCTCTTGGGGCCTCGTGGGGGCTTCTTGGGGCCTCTTGGGGTTTCCTGAGGGCATCTTGGGGCCTCTTGGGGGCATCTTGGGGCGGAGGGCTTGATTTTTCTGTTCGCGTTCCCTATATTGGGCCCCTCTTGGAGCCTTCGTGGGACCCTCTTGCGCCGTCTTGGGCGGCTCTGGGACCGTCTCGGGGGTCTCTTTGGCCGTCTTGGGGCCCTCTTGGGGACCTCTTGGGCCGTCTTGGAGCGGTTTGGGGGGTCTCTTGGGCGGTGCTTTAGCGCCGGAAACACGAAACAGCGAGAATGCAAACAAACATTTGAAGAAAACAATGAAAATCAAAGACTTTGCCCTCTCGGGACGCTATTGGGCGGCATCTGAAAGGCTTCTTGGGGCGTCTCGGGGGCCTCTGGGGCAGTTTAAAACGCATCGTGCGTCGCCAGAGACCCCTGGACGGCGTCTTGGGGGTGTCTCGAGACCGCCTGGGGCCGCCGGGATTGCTGTCTGAGCGCTCCCCGGGGCGATTTTAAGTCTCCCAGAGGCGGGCCTGGTCCCCGGTCCCCACATTTGTGGTCGAGGTTCTGGCCCTCGGCCCCCGAGCCCGGTGCGCCGTTATATGTATATATACATATATATATATATATATATATATATATGAAAACTCGTGATGAGACCGTCGATTGTGACCTCCGCTTTCTTCATCGATTCATCTTCGCGAGATACGTGGCTCGCCTCACAAGAAGGGGTACAATTCCGATTCGTCCCGTCATTACTGACATTACCACGACCGTTTAGCATTCGAGGTGTCTGCTTTACATCTGTTTCCACAAAAAGAACCTTGGGAACTTTACCGCCTTACTCTACGTGCTGTGATTTGGGCACCTCAACACACGAGATTGCCCCTGGCATTGCTACGATAGGCTCCGTTGGAACAGGGTGCTGAAAATGTTGATTGGCATGCACTTCTGCGAACAAAATGTGGGACCCAATAGCATCCAGCCAACGGATTATATCCAACTGGTCATTGGATGTCGCGCATCACTTCTGCGACCTTTCTGCGCTCCAGCCTTGGTTCAGGTCTGTATTGCCGTCGCCTTTCGAAAGAAGCATTTTTACTGCTCAATGTTTCATTCCCTTGCTTGACCCAGGACTCCTTGCTGACCGAGGCTGAGTCTCACTTGCTGGCTTGAGCCTCGCCTGCTCCGGACAGGCAGAGCAACTAAAACGGCAGAATAAGCAAAATAAGAAAACGGGACGGGCAGTCAAAACGGGAACGGAATGAGAAGGAGAAACAAGGGGGGACAGATAGAGAAGGAGAAACAAGGGGGGACAGATAGGCAAGATGAAACGACTCGAAGACGACAGGCAAGAGGAATGCAACGGGACGGAGGCGAGAAGAGAAATTATGGAGGTGGAGAAGAAGTGGAGGCAGAGGAGGCGGAGGGGTCGCCTTCGACGCCCTCGACACGAATATGTAGTCCAGCGTGCCGATGAAGGGATCGATGTCGTTTCTGCACGGGCCGGGCCGGGCTTTTGCCCTTCCCCCGAGCTGGAGCGCCGCCAGAGCACGGGCCTCATATTTGCCGGAGAGCGAGCAGGGCAGCCTGCCCGAGCGCGCAGTGCGTCCCTGGGAAGTGCGCAGCCCCTCCCTCACCCCCACCTCTGCCCGCCGTCCTCTTCCCTCCCTCCCCCCCCCTCCTGCCGCTCCTCCCAGCTGCCCGCCCACCCCTGGCGCGCGGAGCGGGCCAGGGCCAGGCGCCCAAGGCGCCGCCAGGGGGGCCCCAGTGCCGATCCAAGAAATTCGCGCGGACATCCGAGATTGGATGTTGATGCAGATCTTCTTCTTCGACCTCCCTGGACCTATCCCGAGGTGTGTTCTGAACAGAACATTTCAGCGAATCGAGCCGTGGCGATGAGGGACTCCCAGGAGGCCCAAGGTGGCGAAAACGAGGCAAGGGTGGCTGCATGTGTGCCTTCCTCTTCTGAGTTCCTCTTGCGCGTCCTCCTCCTCCTCCTTCCCATTGGGCCTGACCCAGGCGTAGTTCGTGAACTCCGGCTCCCCGCCGGGGTTCGCCTCTGCGTACGCGCTGCGCATGGGTCTCAGCCCGTCCTCGATGCGCCAGGGCTCGTCTTTCGGATAGCCTGCGGGTCAACGGCGGGGAGGGGAGAGGCCATCGTCAAGGGCCGTACCGGCTTCTACTGTCTTTTGACTCGTGCTGATACGTCCAAGATTTGCTTCAATTTCCCCTGGATGTATCTGGATCGACCGATATGCATCTGGATATCTATATATATACACCATAGCACCCCGCAATTGCGGATAAGAGTGAGGGGGCGGGCGCGGGCGACGCGGGCGTCGTCGAGCCGGCGGACCTCGTGGCCCCCACCTTCCTTGTCGATGGCGCTCTCCTCCACCTCCTCCTCCTCCTTCTCCTCCTCTTCCTCCTCCTTCTCCTCCTCCTCTTCCTCGTCCTCATCGTCATCGTCATCCTCCTCCTCCACCTCGCCCTCCTCCTCCTCCTCTTCTTCCTCGTCCTCCCTCTCCCCCCTCGTCTTTTCATCATGGTCCTCCCATTGTCGTCCTCCCCCTCATCGGCCTCCATCATCGTCCTCCCATTGTCGTCATCATCATCATCATCCTCCCCATCCTCCCCCTCCTCGTCCTCTTCCTCCCCCTCCTCCCCCTCCTCCCCCTCGTCCTCCTGCTCCTCCTCCTTTTCTTTCTCCACGTTCTCCTTACATCCTCTCTTCTTCCACGTTCTCCTCGTCCCCTGTTTACTCATCCTGCCTCCCCCTCCTTTCCAAAGATAACTGCAACGCAATCCTTTTTTCCACTTTATGCTCCCCGCCTTCTCTGATCAAGGCAACTCGCCAGGGCAAAGTTGCTGGACGGGCTGGCGTGGATGTGCGGGGCGTGAAGAGGTCCTTGCGGGCTCAGACGGCATGCAAGAATCCGCCGCCGCGCTTGTGCGGCATTGGTTTGTTCAGTGAACGTGGTTTAGGTCGCGGGTGGGTCGCGGGCTCTCCACCTCCACCTGGAAGGAATGCAAAAGCAGCCCGCCGCAAGCGCCAAAAAATTGGTTCGTACACGGAACGAGGTTTGGGTCGCGGTGGGCCGCGGGTTCTCCACAGGGAACGAATGCAAAGGATGCCCGCCGCAGGCGCCGAAAATGTGGTTTGTACCCTGAACGTGGTCGCGGGTGGGCCGCGGGCTCTCCACCTGAAACGAATGCAAAATATGCCCGCCGCAGGCGCCGAAAAATGTGGTTTGTACCCTGAACGTGGTTTGGGTCGCGGGTTGGTCGCGAGTTGGTCACGGGATGTGTCGCGGGCTCTCCACTTGGAAGGAATGCAAAAAAGCCCGCCGCAGGCGCCGAAAATTGTGGTTTGTACCTTGAACGTGGTTTGGGTCGAAGGTGGGTCGCGGGTGGGTCGCGGGGTAGGTGGGTCGCGGGTGGGTCGCGGGTGGGTCGCGGGTGGGTCGCGGGTGGGTCGCGGGGTGGGCCGCGGGGGGGTCGCGGGGTGGGTCGGGGTGGGTCGCGGGGTGGGTCGCGGGGTGGGTCGCGGGGTGGGTCGCGGGGTGGGTCGCGGGTGGGTCGCGGGTGGGTCGCGGGGTGGGTCGCGGGGTGGGTCGCGGGTGGGTCGCGGGGCGGGTTGCGGGTGGGACGACGACAACAAACAACAACAACAACAACAACAACAACAACAAACAACAACAACAACAACAACAAGAATCCGCACCGCGGAATTCCACATCAGCCACGCACCCAGGGACAGTGAATGACCGTTCGGCCCCCTCACTCTGATATATATATACACCGTAGCACCCCGCAATTGCGGATAAGAGTGAGGGGGCGGGCGCGGGCGACGCGGGCGTCGTCGAGCCGGCGGACCTCGTGGCCCCCACCTTCCTTGTCGATGGCGCTCTCCTCCACCTCCTCCTCCTCCTTCTCCTCCTCTTCCTCCTCCTTCTCCTCCTCCTCTTCCTCGTCCTCATCGTCATCGTCATCCTCCTCCTCCACCTCGTCCTCCTCCTCCTCCTCTTCTTCCTCGTCCTCCCTCTCCCCCCCTCGTCTTTTCATCATGGTCCTCCCATTGTCGTCCTCCCCCTCATCGGCCTCCATCATCGTCCTCCCATTGTCGTCCATCATCATCATCATCCTCCCCATCCTCCCCCTCCTCGTCCTCTTCCTCCCCCTCCTCCCCCTCCTCCCCCTCGTCCTCCTGCTCCTCCTCCTTTTCTTTCTCCACGTTCTCCTTACATCCTCTCTTCTTCCACGTTCTCCTCGTCCCCTGTTTACTCATCCTGCCTCCCCCTCCTTTCCAAAGATAACTGCAACGCAATCCTTTTTTCCACTTTATGCTCCCCGCCTTCTCTGATCAAGGCAACTCGCCAGGGCAAAGTTGCTGGACGGGCTGGCGTGGATGTGCGGGGCGTGAAGAGGTCCTTGCGGGCTCAGACGGCATGCAAGAATCCGCCGCCGCGCTTGTGCGGCATTGGTTTGTTCAGTGAACGTGGTTTAGGTCGCGGGTGGGTCGCGGGCTCTCCACCTCCACCTGGAAGGAATGCAAAAGCAGCCCGCCGCAAGCGCCAAAAAAATTGGTTCGTACACGGAACGAGGTTTGGGTCGCGGTGGGCCGCGGGTTCTCCACAGGGAACGAATGCAAAGGATGCCCGCCGCAGGCGCCGAAAATGTGGTTTGTACCCTGAACGTGGTCGCGGGTGGGCCGCGGGCTCTCCACCTGAAACGAATGCAAAATATGCCCGCCGCAGGCGCCGAAAAATGTGGTTTGTACCCTGAACGTGGTTTGGGTCGCGGGTTGGTCGCGAGTTGGTCACGGGATGTGTCGCGGGCTCTCCACTTGGAAGGAATGCAAAAAAGCCCGCCGCAGGCGCCGAAAATTGTGGTTTGTACCTTGAACGTGGTTTGGGTCGAAGGTGGGTCGCGGGTGGGTCGCGGGGTAGGTCGCGGGTGGGTCGCGGGTGGGTCGCGGGTGGGTCGCGGGTGGGTCGCGGGGTGGGCCGCGGGGGGGTCGCGGGGTGGGTCGCGGGTTGGGTCGCGGGGTGGGTCGCGGGGTGGGTCGCGGGGTGGGTCGCGGGGTGGGTCGCGGGGTGGGTCGCGGGTGGGTCGCGGGTGGGTCGCGGGTGGGTCGCGGGTGGGTGCGGGTGGGACGACGACAACAAACAACAACAACAACAACAAACAACAACAACAACAAGAATCCGCACCGCGGAATTCCACATCAGCCACGCACCCAGGGACAGTGAATGACCGTTCGGCCCCCTCACTCTGATATATCGATCTACATGGATTCACCTACATTCATCTGGCCTGATCCCCACAAGTCGGTTGACGAGAAATCGCCCAGCCCTTTCGGGAGGCGATGGAGGATCCTCGTCCTCAGGGGAACTCCCCGCCGCCACGTCTAGACGCTGCTTGGGAAACGATTACCTCCTGAGACCTCTGGAGGTTACCTCCTGCTCCTCTTCTCTCATCCTTCTCCTCTTCCTGTTGTCTTTCCTTTCCTCCTTCCATCCTCCTCTTACTCTTCTGACTCACCATGGTTTTCCTTCACCTCCTCCTCCGCCTCCTCCTCACCCTTTAACTCTAATACCTCGTCATGGTTATCAGATTTTGTCTCATCATCGACGATATCATCATCACCATCAGCATCAGCATCATCATCATCACAATCACCATCACCATCATCATCATGGGCGTCATCATCATCATCATCATCATCATCACCATCATCATCATCATCACCATCACCATCACGATCACCATCATCAGCATCAGCATCAGCATCACTATCATCATCGTAATCGTCATCAGAATCATCACCACCATCATCACAATCCTCGTGAACACCATAGCATAATCATCAACATAATCGTCGTCATCATCACCGTCACTACCTATCATCACCATAGTCAGCATCGTCAGCAACATCATCATCAGCATCAGCATCATCATCATCATATTCATCATCATCATCAGCAGCAGCATCATTACAGCAATGGCCATCACAATCATAATCATAAGCACAATCAACATCACGATAATCATCATCCGTGTTCTTATGCTCCTTCTCCTTCTTCTTCTGTTGCTTCTAACACTCCTCATTCTGAAACTGCCATCATGCTTACGATTTGTATGAACGCCCTGGACGATTGACCTCCACAATGCTCTCGAACCCTAGAAATCATCCGACCCCTCATTCCCGTCCTCTCCCCTCACTCCTCCTCCACCCTCTCCCTCCTCATCTTCGTCCTTCCTCCAATCTCCGTTCTGCCCTTGGCCCCGCTCGCCGCTGCCTGGGTGATCTGGGTGGTCCTCTGGAAGATTGCCAGTGGTCACCAGCTGGTAGGGCGCAGACCCGGGCTTGAAATTCCAGTCGCCGGCGAATATGAGCGGCGTCCTCCAGGGGCCCAAGCTGCAATGGGCAGCGGCGCAGGAAAGGGCCCGACTGCTCCCAGCCTCTCGCGCTCCCCGAAAACGGAATGCGGATCGAACCATAGATGCGATTGTTGTTGGCATGCGAATGTAGAGATGCACATGGACATTCAAAATCCAATTGACATGGGCATGCAAATCGAAATGCCAATCTACATGCACATATACGAAAAAGTCGGAATGCCCTGCGAAATGCACATCAACATGCACATCAGAATGCAACCGACATGCATCCGAGGCCCCACAGACAACCCCAAGAGCGCCCAAGAGGGGCCCAACAGGGGCCCAAATTGGCTCCAAGAGGCGATTTTGAAGGCCCAAGAGGGGGAACCTAGACATGGGAGACTTGTCTAACTTTCAATGCTTGAAACTTAAACTGATGGTGCAGATGCACGGATGGAGGGCGGCTCCTGTTGAAAATAAGGCTTTCGCTCGAGACTCCCTCGACGCTCACGGCCAGAAGTGAAGACTTGTGTAAGAGCTACACACGTGGGGAGCGATACTTCTCAACATGGGGACCTCGTTGGACACACCTCCTTGAGTTATACGATCATACCTTTGTGCGTTTCGTAATGCTCGCTGGAAGGACTCGATGCAGTTAGCCCCTTTTCAAAACAGGGCTCTCGCAAGGTACATAATGCGTTGGTTTTCCAAGAGTGTGCTTCTTGAAGTGGGAAGGTTGGCAGGGACATATGAGAATGGGATTTGGGACGTGAGTGGGAATTGCAGCATCGTTGCTACATCTTGGATTCATTATGGTCCTCCTCCTCCTCCTCCTCCTCCGCCTCCTCCTCTCCCTCCTCTTCCTCCTACACCTCCCATGCTCCCTGCCATCCTCCGCTTCCTCCTCCTCCCTCCCGCCCTCCCTCCCCCTGCTCCTCCTGGTTCTTCTCATCCTCCCTTTTCCCTCCCTCCTACTCCCTCGTCCCTACTAGTCCTCCCTCATCCTCCCTCCCTCCCTACTCCTCATCCCTCCTCCTCTCCCCTTCTCTTCCTCCCTCATCATCGGTCCTTCCTCCCTCCTCCTCACTCCTTTCTCCCTCCTCCCTCTTCCCTCCCTCCATCCTGGATTCCTCCGCCCAGACCCCCCAAGTCGTCATTTTCTCGCAATTCTAGCCCCAGCAAGTCTCGACGATTTCTCAGCGACTGGCTTCACATCTGGACTGTTTGTGTGATGGTCCTGAGAACCAGTAAGGGCCGCCCGAAGCCGAAAACTTTCAATCACCCTTCTGTCGCATTTTTTCGCGACGGAAGGGGGCGTGGGTCTGGGGGTCAGAAATCGAACCCCGGGACGTTACCAGGGATGCGTTCTGGCCAGAATCTCGGAAGGAAAATGGGCGAAAGTTGGCGTCGAGACTCTCGCTCCCAGAGCCTCGAGAATCAGGAGCCCACCCCCCCACCCCCCTCCGACGTGTCCTGGGGGCGCGCTGGGGCCAGCACTCCGGGGGGGGGGTCCAGCAGTGGCCACGAGGCCGCCGCAGCAGGCCCAAGCACGCACCGAGACCTCGAGCTCCGAGGGCCGACCATCGCAACGGAAGCCTCGAACCTTCCCTGCGCGCGCGGCGATTTCTGGGAGGCGGGGCCTCCCGGCAAACCGCTGCGCACACTGGCAGGCCAGCGCCGTGTGGATGACCATCACCTGGCGACCACGGAGACGACGGCGGCGGCGGCGGCGACAAAGGCGGCGGCGACGGCAACGACGGCGGTGGCGGAGACTACGACGTCAACGGCGGCTGTGGCGACGACAACGACGACGCCGACGGCGGCGAGGACGACGACAACGACGACGACGACGACGGCGATAGCGACGACGACGACGACGACAACGATGGCGGCGGCGGCGTCGTCGCCGACGGCGGCGACGACGACGACAACGGCGGCGGCGACGGCGACGACGGCGGCGGCGACGGCGGCGATTCGGCGGGGCCTTGGGCTGCCAGTGCGCGTTGGGCATGTGGTCCGCGCGGGCCCCGCCCGACAGGCGGGCGGGGGCCCTGCCGCCGCTGGTTCCCCTACTGGTTCTCCTTCTCCTGCTCCTACTGCTGGTCCTCCTCCTGTTGCTCCCTCTTCCGCCTCCTCCTCCTCCTCCTCTTCCTCCTCCTCCTCCTCCACGCCTCCTCCTTGTGCACCTCCTCCACTCCTCCTTCTCCTTTTTTAACGTTGCACGGACTCAAGTCCTCCTCCTCCTCCTCCTCCTCCTCCTCACCTCCCTCCTGCTCGCCCTCCCTCTGCAGGCGACGCGGCCTTCTCGCAGACACACCATTCTCGGAGGTAGGGAGGTTGAGATCGCAATGGAACGGAGAGCCACCCACCAAGAAATTGGTTTCGGCTTCGTGTTCGTGTCGTATGCGCGGACGAGGCGAAGCAGCGTGGGCGCGCGAGAGGAAGGACCCCGCCGTCGCTAGGGCGAGTCGGATGCAGTGGACCGCCCCTCCGCCCCCGGTGGGCGCGCGGTGGCCCGGGGTGTCCCGCCGTCGTGTCCTGTGGTGTCCCGTTGGTGTCCCGTTGGTGTCCCGTCGGTGCTCCGTCGGCGGTGGGCGGGCGGTGGCCGGAAGTATCCCGCCTTGGTATCGATAGTGAAGTCAATAGTGAGATCGAGACTGAGATCGCTAGAGTGGGATAAGATAGTGAGATCAAACGTGAGATCGACAGTAAGGTTAATTGTGGCTTTGGTTGTGAGATCGATTATGGTATCAATGTTGGTATCGATAGAGGAATCGATGGTGAGATCGAAAGCGAAATCTATAGTGAAACCTATAGTGGAAGCAATCGTGAGATCTACAGGGGATCGATCGAGTGTGATCGATCCTGTGAGGTCGTTGGTGGGATCGATCGAGTGAGATCGAAAGCGGCGACGATAGTGGCATGACATCGCAGCGCAACATCCACATCAAGCTTCATCGCTAACTCGAGGGCGCGTCACCAGCATCGTCATCATCATACCCATCGCATATGCCAGCAGTTGGACCTTTCCCCCCGCACCACCCAACCTCCTTATCACCCGAAGGGTGGTCGTATATCTCATTACCATTTTACCCTCCCACCGCATTGTCCTTATCGTGCTCGCATCGCGCTCCTCGATCGTCCTCTGCCTCCTCCGCCTCCGTCGACCTCGCGCGTAGCCGAGGAGGGACCTTCAGTGCCTGGGCGTAGAGGGGCGCGGCTGCGGGGGGGGGGTCTACGTTACAGCATTGTATCCAAGGCTGGTGGGGGGGGGGGAAGGCCTGGGCTCGCACCAGAGGCCACCCTGGCGAAGGGTCACGCTTACGCGCAGCCGATCCCAGCCTCGTCTGAACCAGCCCAAGTGATCCTCGCGTCTGGCTCGATCGGGTCTCCAGCGGCAGTTCGATGCGGTCACCCCAGAGGCACCCCGGGAACGCTTTCGGCGAGGCGCAGCTGCTGGAAAGCATCCCGATGCTGGAACATCGTTGGGGACTCATGAGACAAGCCGACCACCTCGAACTCTGCAGAGCGCCTGCGCGTGTCTGGCAGCCGGACTTCTCCCCAATGGAACCGATATTCCTCCCCTCCTCTTTGCATGAACGGATCGTGTTCTGAGAGAAATGTACTCTGGACCATGGGGGATTTCCTCAGGACCAGCTTCTCACACCAAATCGTCCTCACACCAGAACAACAGCTTCTCACACACAGCTTCTCAATCCCACGAGCCCGGGAGGGTCCCGAGTTCGCACACTGCTGCAAAAGCTCAGGACCCGTCCCCATCCGATGTCTTGATTTCTTCACCACGAGGCCCCTGGGAGTCCCGAGAACAACATTCCCCCGGGGCTGGCGGCTCCTCCCGATAAGCTTCTTGGACGGCCCCGGGGCTTGCGGCGAGGCCCCCCAAAAGAGCCGAACACGACGACCCATCTGCCGTCGTGACCACTTCGCCGCGCGAGCATGTCTGGGCACCCGCTTCCCTCAGTCGGGCCGGGCGAAAGGGGGGGATAGCAAAGGGGGGGTTTGAGCATCAGCTCACGAAGCTGATTTTCCCGGCGCCTCCCAGCGCTGGGAGGCGGCCATGTATCGAGGAATGGGCCCCTGGGTGAGGCCGAAACCAGCTGCATGCAGCAAACTTCGTAACTCACCCTTTCCCATTCCCCCCCTCTCGCCCGGCCCGACTCAGGACTGGCTTCCCTTCACGGCGGCCGCGCGCGGGCAGGACCCGAGCCTCGCAGCGGGGCGCCCCCTCCCCCCCATTGGCAGGGGCTTCCGTGAGGGGCAGCGCGGGGGGAAAGGGGACCAGCCCGGGGGGGGGGGGGGGGGTCACATTGACATGGGATCGGAGATGCATTGCCGACAGGTCGGCAATAGGCACCCGATAGCAACGCCTCTCGCGTTCTCCGGCGGGGTGGGCTACGAGGCCCCTATGGGCGATCCGTGGGCGGCTGGGGGCCGATGCACCCCCCCCTCGAGGCCGTCCCGCCCCAACCCTGCCCCCCGATTCCCACAGCGCGGCGGCAACGGCGGCCACAGCCCAGCGCGATAGGTCGCCACCACGAAGGCCTTGCTGTCTCCTGGCGGGGCCGGTTCTGCATCCCTCTGCGGCCTGCTCCCTCGCACGCTCGCTCCGTCCACCTCCTCCCGTTCCAGTTCCCTCCTCCCTCCTCACTGCTCCTCCCTGATCCCTCCCTCCAGTTGTTTTTGTTCCTCCTCCTCCTCCTCCTCTTCCTCCTCCTCCCTCCTCCATTCCTTCTCCGTATAAGCAACTCTTGCCTGTCGCACCATCGGACGTGTCCGTAGACCGGGCCTGGCGTTTCGCCTGAAACATTCTCGCCAATTGCGATCCTGAACCTTGAAATTTCCAGCAGCTTCAAGGATGGAGCCCTGGTGGTCTTCACGCGCACATCCATCTTTGGTGGTCTTCACGCGCACATTCGTCTTAAGGGCTTGCAGCAGCTTCTATGCGAAAGGACGGTTCGTTTTTCAAACATTGGCTAAGGATGGAGGCCGGTTGTTTCTTAAAATGCGATGTTGGCCGTAGCGCCGCGCACATCCATACGACCCAACCCTCACCATCCAATGCAACACAAACTATTTGGCGCATATCCGCCCTACTCAGCCCTCACCGTCCTACGCAACACACGCCACTTTTCACACACAGACGACCCAACCCCCACCACCATCATATGAACAACAAATACGATTCGGCGCACATCAATATTACCCAACCCTCACCATCCGATCCCCCCCAAATGTGCGGCGCACATCCATCCGACCCACCCCCCCGACCAAACCATCATCATCCGAATGGAAAAAAACGTGCACATCCATGCGGCCCAACACTCATCGTCCTACGCAACAAAACAATTCTGTGCACATCCAAACGACCCAATATACGCACCGTCCTAAGTAAAAAAACACAATCGGGGCGCATCTGCTGTTCTTGCACATCGACCGACCCCCTGGCCCCGGAACGCCCCTGGGCACAAGAGGCAACACAAATCATTACATCGATCGCAAACGCATACTAAGCCGATCCGTTTCGGGAACCACCCGCCGCCTCCGATTTGGACCCAAGCGCTCTCCAGGCTGCCCCAAGCGCTCCCAAACGCTCCAAGACGTTCCCAAGCGCTGCCAGACGCTCCAATCCGTCTCCAAGCGCCCCAAGGCTCGCCGTCGCCACCAGCAGCAATAGCGTCCACATCCTCATCTGTTCCGTCCTCGTCGCCGCATGGGGCCTAATGGAGCAGATGAATTCAGATCGCGTTGACGCGTGGACCACATGATTTTCTCAATGGGGCTCTCGCTTGGCTGGCGAAGCACGCCATCGCTTTACACAACCAAAGATCAGATAGAGTGCGGGCCGTTTTCACCTGACGCCGTGCATACTGACGCCGTGCATACTCGGCTTCCAAAATCCTTAGCTGCGCGAGTGGATGGCGCGTCCGTGCCAAGACGGAGTGGGCATTGGACAACGAAACATTCGACAAATAATCCAGTGCATGGAAGCCGGTGGAACTCCAAGCGTGGATCGGCCATGAATATCACCGCCGCCCTCCTTAGATAAGGAATCCTTCAGGGCCTGCAGCCTCCTGAGCACCTTTCTTGACGAACGCCCCCATCGTGTTTGGGTCTCCCCTTTGGCCTCGCGCGCAATCGACAAAAAACGAGCATCTACACTCGCTTGACCCTGCCTCGACCTCTGCGGGACCCGCCGTTCCATATTGCGCAACAGCTAACACGGATGGAGAGCGGCTATTTTTTAGAAACGGGGCTCTCGCGTAAGACTTCCGAGAAGCATACGTCCACGACTTTGATACCCTGCAACGTTTAGACGGATGGAGGGCATGTCTTTCTCAAACTGAGGCTATCCCTGGGCCTCCAAGGGCTCGCGAATGAGACTTCCGCGGAGCATACGTCCACGACTTTGACATCCTGCAACGCTTAGGTGGATGAAGGGCATGTGCTTCTCAACATGGGGCTACCCTCGGGGTCCAAGTGGAGGGAGGATCCTTTACAACAGGCGCCCTCGTCTGACTGGCGGACCGACTGGCCGCTCGTCATTCAAGGGGGGGCGCACGCAGTGAAAAAGAAGACTTTCATGGACTTAGGAAGAGGGGACCTGGGACTAGAGGGCTTTTTATAGACAATGGGCGCGGGGCTTCAGGGCATGAATGAACAGCGTCCTGTACCGAAGCCGGCTTGCACAGGGGCCCGTGTGACCCGATCAAATTGCGACAGACGATTGGGAGCCCTACGGCGGTATGACACATCGGCAGGACGTTGCTCCTTGCCCCCAGGGCCCCTTCCCTTCCTGCGCGAGCTTGCTCCTCCTCCTGGAGGAAGGGGGTCCCCCCCCCTCGAGGAGGAGGGGCTCTTCTTCCCGTGGGAGCGCCCCACCCCCCCGGGCGACACGGGGAGCAAAATCTGCTCCACGAGCGTCGTGCTAAAAGCTGAACGGCGGTTGTGCCGGGAAATCGACTCGACTCCAGCTTCAGGACGCAACTGCTGGCGCGCCCAACAGTATTAATGGCTTCGCGTAGTGTGAGCTTGGAGAGCGAGCGAGCGTCGCGCCTACTTGCTCCCTGCGGGGAAACTGCCGGTCACCCCGCTGATGTAGGACAAGCCTGGGAACTCCTTCGTCAAGTATGCATTGCCTCTCTCCTGGATCTCGCCCTGGTCGGGCTCCTCCCCGTACTTGCTCTGGATGCCCTCGACGACGCTCATGCCCTCCACGACCTCCCCCACGGGAGTGAAGCCCTGCTTGTCCAGGAAGGCATTGTCCTTGTAGTTGACGAAGAGCTGAGACGTGCGAGAGTCCGGCCCCGACGTGGCGAAGGTCACCATGCCCTTCTCGTTGCTGTGCCCAGCGTCCGGGTCGTCGGGGATCTTCTTCTCGCTCCAGGTCTTGGCCACCGCCGGGTCGGCGGGGATCCCCCACTGGACCATGAAGTCCGGGACGACCCGGAAGAAGCGGGCCTCGTCGAACACGTGGCTCGCCACGAGGTCCTGGAGGCGCTTCGCACCTTCGGGGGCCCAGTCCGGGTGCACGGTCACGGTGAAGTTGCTTTCCTCGCCGCCCTCCTCGCCGGAGAGGACCACGGAGAACGTGGCGTTCCAGGGCTCCGTGGCGTACGGGTTGCCCTCGGCGTCCGCGTCGGGCTCCGTGCTCTGGAGCCGGGCCTCGGAGCGCTGCGCCCGCGTGGCCGCGCTCTGCAGCAGCACCGACCCCTCCTCGTCGCCCGGGCACGAGCCGCTCGGGCGCGCGCCCCCCTCGGCCGCGGCCGCGCCGAGCACGGCCAGGAGCGCCGCGGCGAGGGCGGCGCGCGCCATGGGGCTGCGGAGGCGGCGGCGGCGGCGGGTCTTCCTGAGTGCCCAGACGTGGCTTGAGCCACAATGGCTGGACTGCAGCATCGGTTAGTGTATCTTAGGTGAACTCTGGTCCTGCGCCTCCTCCTGCTCCTCCGCCGCCACCCTCCAACCTCATTTACCACTCCTCCTCCCCCTCTTCCTCCTGCTCCTCTTCTGCATCTTCCTCCGTCACTTTTCCTCCTCCTCCTCAGCATCCTATTCATCCTCATCCTCATCAGCATCCTCATCCTCATCCTCATCCTCCTCCTCCTCCTCATCATCATCAGCAGCAGCATCATCATCACCGTCGGTATCAACAACATACTCAGCATCCTCATCAGCATCTGCATCAGCATAATCAACAACCTCATCATCACCAGCATCGTCACCATCAGCATCATCGTCCTCCTCCTCCTCATCATGATCACCACAACCATTACCATCACCATCACCATTAACATCATCAGCATCATCAGCATCAGCATCAGCATCAGCATCATCATCATCATCATCATCATCAGCAGCATCATCATTCTCATTATCCTCCTCCTCCTCATCATCACCATCAACATCATCATCATCATAATCGCCATTAGTATTAGCAACATCATCAGCATCATTGTCACCACCGTCAGCATCAGCATCCTCACCATCAACATCTACATGATCATTCCAATCATCGTCCACTCATCCTTTATCGCTTCCTACCTTCCTCCTAGACCATCGACTTTGGAGGACGCTCCAAAAAATTTGTCTGGCCTTCGCAGGTCTTCGGAGGCCCTCAGAGCTCCTGAGGCCTGTGGAGATCTTGGAGGTCTCCCAGTACAGAACAAACCATCCGTATCTTCCTCCCTGCAATCCCAGCATGCCTTAGCGCCCAAGTCCCAGAACGCCACATGCCGAGAGTAGCTTCCTCCTCCTTGCGATCTCTGAAGTTCTTTAGCTGTCAGGTCCACGAATGCCTAAGGCCGAAACACTCTTAGGGGGCAACTGGCATGGGCCCCTCCTCTCTGGAGCTTCAGCTTCACGGCCACCATCATGTTCAGCCGGGAACGGGAGAAATCCCACACGTCCGCCTTGAACTTGCTCGGCTGAGACGTCTCCGTCTGAAGCTCCTGGTCAAGGGCTAGCGTCAAAAGCGCGAACGAAAGCGGCGAGCAAGAAAACATCGCGCACTGTGAAGCATGCGGGTCAACAGATTTCGCACGCATGGCCAGGCAACGGGCAGCAAGAAACCAGTAAGGACGGGACCCAGACGCACAGCGCTACCCAAGGCGGCTCATAGGAGATTCGCGCGCGGGCTTCGGTGTGGCAAACAGCGGCCACCGAGCTGCGACTCGACCTTCGTGCTAGCGTCGTGCTTGACGCGTCGTACGTTCGTTCTCAGAATGACGTCATGATGCGGTTGGCTCAGGGTGCGACCCAAGAATCTGAGAAAGACACTTATCGAGTTGGGAGGAAGTGATTTGGATAATGTAGGGTAGGAGCAAAAGCATGCGGACGCAATCAACGATACCTTCGGCTGCCTGCGTCTAGCGAAGGGGAAACGTATTGTCACCACAGCGCATGGGCCGCCAATCCAACACCGCGCAAGCTTCCTAAGAAGCAGGTTGCAACCTGCAGCCTACTTCGTGGACCTTGGGCCATCTTGGACCCCTGGAAATTTCCCAAGACGCAGGTTGCACCCTGCAGCCTACTTCGAAGCCCTCTCGGGGCCCTCTTGGAGCCCTGCCGAGGCTTTCGGTGGGGCCGTCCAAGAGCACTCTTGTGTGTTCTGGACCCTCTCAGAGCCATCTTGGACCATCTCAGGTGTTGAAGCGACGCGGCGAGCACTGAAGGTGGACCAAGGGCATGAGCAATGCCAGGGGTTCGGTCCATTGCCCACTGAATCGTGAATTCCGCATCGGGCTCCGTATTGCAATCCGTTGCTAATACGGAATTCACAAAGTGAGCTGTTCCTCGTGCCCATACAGTTTTTGGGAGGTCGCGGAACCGCAGCAGGTTCCGTATTGCGTTCCGTTCCTGGTAATCGTCTTCCTGAAACTCAGGATGAAGAGCCGGTCTCCGGGAAGATGTCCGCATCATAGGGGAGCCACGTTGGGAACAAACACGCGACATGATCCTCCTCGTGCCCCCACACCCACTCCCCTGATGCAACATCGCGACAAATCACTACCAGAACCCTGCTGGGATGACCGCGGGTATTGCTGAGGGGACAGGGGGGCCTACCAGCGGATGCCACGGTGGTTTTATCTGGCCCATTTTTGTCTCATCAGCGGGTACCAGATGCCTCAGGTGGCTTATGGGGGCCAGCGATCCGGAGCCCATTCAGCGGAGCTAGATAACCCCCCTGAGCCACTTGTGTAACCCACTCGTAAGCCAAGCTGGGCCTAATGTAATTACCTTGGCATCCGCTTGTAACCCCCCTGTCCCGTTAGCATCCCCGGCGGTCATCCCAATGTCGACCCCATCTTCCTACGGCATGTTTTCGAGCGGATCGATCTGAGATGGTCCAGGGGCCCGAAACACAGCGAACTTCACCGGGCTGAAAAATGCAACGCCTGGATCTGCATGTCCATCTCTCTCCTCCTCCTCCTACTACTACTCCTCCTTCTACTCCTCTTCTTGCTCTTCTTCTTCTTCCTCTTCTTCTTCATCTTCCTCCTCCTCCTCCTCCTCCTTCTCCTCCTCCCGTGAGATCCGAAAACACGAAAAATTGCCTTCTTCCGCCCCCCTCCGCAGACGACCTCGTCGGCCTCTTCCAGGTCCGCCTCGCCGATCTCCACGCCGTCGAAGAAATAGGGGGAGGCGAAGTAGCCGGCGATGTCCAGGAGCGCCTGGTGCGTGTCGCGGGCCTTGCGGAGGGAGTACCTGCGCCGCGTACAGGAGCGAGGAAGGAGAAGGAGGGGGAGGAGGAGGAGCAGAATGAGGGGGAAGGACGAGCGCACGTAGCTGGTAAGACAGTGCCACAGCTACTGCACAGCACTAGCCTCGCATAGCGGCTAATTCAGCAGATCGTATCTGGTAATGGTATGAAGGCGTGGCAGCCTGCGGCCGCCGCGCAAGGCCCGCTTTCAGTTTATGGTAAATGTGAAAGCTTAGGACTACGATTCGGTGACATCGTAAACGTGGATATTCGATCTCGCGATCGGGGTGGGGGCCGAGCCCCAGACGAGTGAGAGGACAAGAAGGGAGGACTCCACGAGGAAGGGCGAGGAGGTGAAGGAGGCGGGGGCACTGGAGATAATGGGCGAACGAATCGGGGGCACGGCACCCGAAAAGACATGAGGCCTCGGGCGCACTCGGAACGCGGGCCGAAGTCGTCCAAGCTCCGGCCAACGTCTTCAGGTGGGCCCATGCCCACGAAGGGGGGGATCGGGCAAGAATCGCCTTTAAACCACCCCACCGAGCCTCAAGATCAGCCGGCAGCAGCGGCTGGAGGTCGGGGAGCCACGAGGAAATACGACGATGCAGCAATGTGGGGAGGGAATCGGGGAAGAGCGAAGCCTCGAGGGAGGAGGAGACGATTCGCTGCGGTCGCGGGCGGCGCTCCTCGGTGGCGGCCGCCGTCAACTCCGCCCTCGCCGCCGCTGCCGCTGGGGCCCAGGCCTCAGGCCTGATGCCAGGTGGCCCTGAGCGGAGTACCATCTCCAGGAACTCGGCGATCGAGCTCCGTGAGGGGGGAGGAGGAGAAGGAGGAGGAGGAGCAAGAAAGGGAGGAAGAGGGGGATGAGGAGGAGGAGGATGAGGAGGATGAGGATGAGGATGATGATGATGATGATAAGGAGGAGGAGGAGGAGGAGGAGGAGGAGGAGGAGGAGGAGGGAGAGGAGGAGGACCAACAACCCAGGGCATGGGCGTCAAACTACCAGGATGCTGGAACACACGCTGATGCGGAGGCCACGCTCTGGACAGACATGTGGCGCCACATTGTCGCCGAACTCGCGCTCGGCTGGCAACGTTCAAGCCAGCCAGCTTCCCGGCAGGCGCGGGGACGGAGCTCCTCGTGTGTAGCGCGGCCTGGTTGACGTCGCTCAGGGACGACTTGCGCGGCCGAGGTGGCCGAAAGGCGAACGGAAAACTTTGTCTCTTGTGCGGCAAGGCTGCGCGCTCGACAGCGACCGTGCTGATGTTTTCTATGTTTTTGGGATTAGTTGTTTTACACAAAAAACATTTTTGGGGACAGCAAGCGTGCTGAACAGCAAGCGTGCTGAAAATACAGACTTGATGCGCAGAATGAGGTGGGCTCCGGCGCCGCGGGACGAGGCGGCCTCGACACTGGCCAGCACCCCAATCGGAACGATACAGGAATGTCGAAACCGCGCCTTCGCAACCATGGAGGCTAGGCCCCGAGACGAACCTCATCGGATGGTGATTCACGGATCACGAAGCGCCACGGCCTGACAACTTCGTAGAACACCGACATACCCGTGGTCACCCCTGCTGCTGCTGCTGCCGCCGGCGCTGCTGCTGCGCCTCCTCATTATCATCTCCCTGATCACCATCTTCCGCCTCATTCCTGTCCGCCTCCGCCCCCCCCTCCTCCTCCACGCGCTCCTCCAGATCACACTGGTAAATATCCCCCAGCCCCCTTGTGGGGCCACCAGGCTGTGTGGCGGAGGCTTTCCTGCAACCTGCTCCAGGGACTCCAATGCAAGTTTCCAGTCTCCAATCATATAATTCTACTTTCCGCCTCTCTATGTGACTTGTTACTGTCCGCGTGAGGGGGGGGGAAAGGAACCGGATACAATCCCCGAATCGCGTTGCCTCAATTCTTGGTGGAGCTGGGACAAGCTGAACTACGCGGGATCCGCGTCCCCAAAATAATATTCTCTTGTCAATCTAAACAGAATCGTGGTTCCCGAGGCCAGAATCCTAAGCAAATCACATTACACCAGCCCTACCGAAGCCAAAATTCCCGATCACGTACGTTAAATTCGCGATCCCGAAACCAGAATTCATTGAAAAGTGCTCCAGCTAAGTCCTCCCAAGGGCAGACAAAATGCGTTGTAAATTATATCCGCATCGCGCCTTCGAGGCCAACACTTTTTTCAGATTCCACTTGGTTCCCTTTCCCGGGACCAGAACCCT